CGATACGACAAATACGATCGATAGGACAGATGCGACAAATACGACCGATGCGACAAATAGGACCGATGCGACAAATACGACCGATGCGACAAATATGACCGATGCGACAAATACGACCGACACGACAAATACGACCGACACGGCCGATACGACAAATACGACAGACGACCGTTACGACAAATACGACCGACACGACCGATACAACCGACATGACATATGCGACCGACACGACCGATACGACAGACACAACCGACACGACAAATACGACAAACACGACCGCCACGACAAATACAACAGACGACCGTTACGACAAATACGACCGACACGACCGATACGACATATACGACCGACACGACAAATACGACCGACACGGCCGGTACGACAAATACGACCGATACGACAAATGCGACCGACATGACAAATACGACAAATACGACCGATGCGACAAACACGACCGACACGACAAATGCGACCGACACAACAAATACAACCGCTACAACAAATACGACCTAACGACAAATACGACCGATACGACAAATACGACCGACACGACAAATACGACAAATGCGACCGACACGACAAATACGACAAATAGGACCGACACGACCGATACGACAAACACGACCGACACGATAAATAGGACCGACACGACCGATAAGACAAATACGACTTCAAAAAAAGGAGGAGGTGCTATGTTCGGCTGATTGATTTTTTTTGTGAACAGCTTTCCTCCAGCCTCCCGAAATGGTCCCGTTAGGCCACGACCTGATGATGGCATCCTAGGGAAACCGAGGGGAACTTTCGAAAATTGTAGGGGCGAGTAATGCGTCTATTATGTTTTTTAATTAGGATTTTTAAATGGAAATTTGAAAATCAAAAGAACTTAAAAATAAAATTTACAACTACAAGAGATAAGGTTCTTATGGTCATCATCATGGTTTTTAGTCAGTAAGAGTCTGACACTCCCTCCCACCTCACCCAGGCGGGTCCAGTTATTCGATGATATTTACCCCTTAAAAAAATAGGTACATTGTAGGTACCCACTTACTGGTACGCGTCGAACAAAAGTTTCCGCTGGTGGCGTATGCAACGACACAGTTACAGCGCACACTTCAGGTTCCCAATCTGGTTCGTCCCAGTCGTATGACCGCGTGTGTGTAGTTTTCCGACGGCTATCGGTCTAAAAACAAACAAAGACCTTAAAAGTTTCATTGTTGCCGTTTAACTGGAGTTAAAGTAGGTAGACCTATATCGATTCAATGTAAATAAATATTATTAGGTATTTTATTGTCTAGTAATCTTATTTTGTCTAAATCCTATGTGAAATATAATAACCTACTTAGGTACCTATGTAATGTAAAAATAATCGCTTACTTTACGTGACCAGCAACCTCCCATCTTTTATGTTTCTCACTAGTTAGCACAACGAAGCTGTAAAGCATAAACACCTCTAATCAGTTAGAGTAATTTATTTAGGTATCAAATCATTACAGCTACGTCATCGTAAGAAATAATATTTTTCTATTAACACACTTGCATACTTACCCACCGAAACCAAAGATTTTATCTTTAGTTAGTATTGTATTCTAATTTTAATCACACGAGCAGTTTGCACAACACGTTTCTTTGTGTTCTGATTGTTCACTAAGTAATAGCGATATATTTGTACTGATGCTGCGAACTCGTTATTGTTTTTGTACCTAAGCTAAACTATCTAAGATGTCAATTTTCTCAACAAAGTAGCAAGAAAAGCTGAGAACTGGGATATTTGTCTATGGTTGTAAAATCCCGCATGCTTTAATTTAATCCATAGACTATTTCTTACTCGATCTATCAGATCTCTGACTAGCTATAAAATATCTGTGCTATCGACGACGCGAGATGATGAGTAATCAGCAGTAACTACAAGTTTTACATACAGCATAGTTAATAAATAAAGATAGAACCATCTCATAGTAAAATATAGCTTTTGGTGGTTGATTTATTAGTTTTATTTGAAGTATAATCCCATCTTCTACGCGTTTCCGAACGAAAGTACCTACCTATACTATAATAGGTACGTGGTATCTATAGCGTATGCACTGGTATGCACACACTTGTAATGCACTTCACTCAGAGCAACTGAGCAAGAGCAAAGGTCAAGGTAAGCCGTTGTAATGCTTACTTTTATTAATAAACAGTGTCTATAGTCTGGTCAACGGAAGTTGGGAATGAAAATAAAGCGCGAAATTTAAAATGTAAACTCAAAATGTATATTATGAGTTAAATATAGGACATTCGCTTACGTGCATAAACTTATATATACATAGGTACATATCCATCTTGTTGTTCTAGTGGTTACACGTACGGAGCCGTGGAGAACAGGTTATCAGGGCTCCGGCTCGAATTACAGGTGTAAAGGACGGAGTGGTTTTTAGTTAGCGTTAGCAAGAGTCTGACATTCCCACTCGCCTCTACCGGGCCAGACAAGAAATTGGATGATATTCCTCTTTAAAAAAATGTGGTTACATATGTGACTGCCAAATAAGGGTCCTTGACTCAAGCAGAGTAATATTCGTGCTTCTGAGTTCTTCGAAAGTTATAGAAACTTCTTAGATGTTTGCTGACAAACTTTTTGAGTTCAAATGTCTAGTAACCAATGGCAATGTCGAATGTGTTAATATTGATAGTTAAATTATAGTAACCATGTTTCTTCTTTATATAGCTTCTTTTTGTAGTTGTGATGAACCAGAACTCAAATCGAATAATAATGATGACACGTTTCCCAGTTCCGATCAAATTTGGGGTATGATAGGAACCATACTGGCAACAGTTGCTTGTTGGATTGTGTATACAAAGGTTGGAGACTTATTACCTACATCTTATTTAGAATTTGCAGCAATATTGCATTGGTCAGGTCAGCGCAACTTAAAGATTGAGCCCTGGTTGACTGAACTAGGTACTCTACCATAGTTTCTTGGCAATAGCAAGTACTTGCAGCCTACACTTCGTGCATCTATACTTGTGTCAAATATGTTGGGCGTGTCATATCAACACCGTTTTTTGAAGATGTTTTGTTAATTTTGTGAAGATTGTTGGTCCTAGGCTATAAGGTTCCTCAACTTTATTTATTAAAATTATTTCCTTTGTTATTATATTTACAGGTAAGGATTGGCAGGAAGAGGTGCCATAACCATCACACTATCATGCACAGCAAACCAAGAACAGGAAACGCACGCAGAGGACACGTTATGTGATATGATTTAAATGATGATTTTAAAAAATGAAACAAAAACTTATCGAAATATACCTTTACTCTTAAAAATAATATGGCTTAATTTCATTGCATAAAATATAAAATAATATTTATGTCGAATATACAACGTTGAATATGTAATATAAATTTAGCTACCCATATACCTTTTCAACTATAATAAAAAATAACAAAAATATAGGAATTCAAATTAACGAATATGTGTCTGTATATTAATAGGTGTCGTTCAGCAAAAACATCGTGTCCTTTGCATATTTCTTGCAATCTTGCAAAAGATACTTGTATTCGTCTTCAACCTGACCTCTTTTGAGCAAGTACACCAGTATGTACTGGTATGGAAACACAGGCACATTATGGCGGGCGAAAAAGCGAAGTTTGACTCTTTCAATAATTTTCATGTCAACGAAACAATAATCTGCAGTGCAGCAACTGCCTGGAGTCCTGTGGAAACAGTATAAGAAAATAGTGAATATTTGCTTTCTTTCTAGTAAACGAAATATCTTTCTTGGTAGTAATTTAATTTATGGGCAAGCAAGTATTGTTGGGTTTTCTCTTTCGAAATTATCAGTTCTCCGTGAAGTCAAGACTGGACTCTACGTCTATTACATGGATTGGTTTACGTGTCTCAAGGAGTCCGCGAAGGTGTATCCGCCTTTGCCTTCAAAGACTAAGGAGAGTGATATTGGGTTAATAGATAACTTCCTGGAAGATCTAGTATTTTATAAAGAAGTATAATTATAGTAATTTTGTTATTTACCTTGGATCATAAGTAACTGGCTTTGCCTTTAGAGTCTTGAATATCATTTGATAATATTGTCTGTACTTCCTCTTCATGATCAGGACGATTTGTTTGCCCTCGAAAGGATACTTGGCACTGAGTGCATCAAGTTCCAGGTGCCAGTACACTGCTGCTTTCGCCACTTCTACACTTGTTGTGTCAATTTCCAGTATTTTGGGATGTTTTAGCCATTCATACAAGTATTCCTGCAAACAAGTAATTAGATATAAATGAATATTTCTATGGGCTCTTTTGTTGGTAGTATTTGTGTGTATGATTGCTAAGGTATTTTTGTTCAAACTTTGGATCACATAGAAGTGGTATTATTGCAATTGTTACGTTTTTGTAAATTTTTAAATACACAGTAGCAGTGTCTGGAATGGTTGCTGCAATAAGAGGAGACACATCGTGATATAACTGGCAAACTGGTACATGTAATGTCCGTGCACCTGTGGTCCTGTGCCCATGCCCGTGCCTCCAGCTCCAGTCAATAAAATGTGTCATATTATGTGATGTTTTTTCTGAATTCACATTACAAATTATAGAACGATACACACCTGGAGGAACTTCTTGCATCTAAAACTGTCGTAAATAAAGTTGACGTGAATCAACCACTTGCCCGTAGCGAGGGCGCATACCATCATACCAGTGAATGTGTCGTTTGGCAACACTGCTATAAAATGTGTTGCCAACATTTCCATTTTTGTATTTTCAGCTACAACGCCCCCTAACTCAGTTATCATTGCGGCAATTCTTTCGCGATTCTGCAAATAAAAAACATATTTCACTGTTAAACCTGGTAGATAGATACAATATGTGCCTTGTGGTCACAGAACAAAATACAAATAGAACAAAATATGTATTATATTATAGAACTTTTGTTATTAGCAACTGCTGAGTAAGGAGTGTATTCTATTGCCAGCTAATTGTGTATTTTCAGATTTCCGAAAATTTTGAATTTTTTCGAAATAAATAAATAATAATAAATAAATAAAATGTTTATTTGGTGTAAAAAGCCAGATTACAAAATAAATCTTAATATCTAAACAAAGTCTAAAAATATGTGAAACCTGAACTAGGTCCAAGCCTGTGTTTCAGGTTAAAAATGTACTGAAATATTTAAAATACAATAATATTGCTTATAAAACTAAAAATGTTATGTCTAAATTAAATTAAGCTAGTCTCTAAGTATAACAGGTGCGCGTGTACAGTTTCATAAACAAACGTAAGCAAAAATAACTAAGTCAACTATAATAAAATTATTTGCTTACTTCAAGTAATTCCTCGGTTTGATCGTATGTTAAGGTGTGTACATAATTATGTAATAGTTTTTTACAGTGAAAGTGATTGAGGCTATAAATACTTAATTCTCTATTTATTCTATTGTATAAAAATGGGCCAAGAAAGATAAAGAATCTTTTTATAAAAGCGTGTTTTGACACTGAGGTTGAAGTGCAAACCATATCATTCCGCCTTTTGTTAGTAAGATTATTAACATTGAAGCTGAGTAGTGAATGTTGTTTGAGTATTAGCTGTACTACATAGATTTGGCGAACAGTTAAAACTTTGCAGGATCTATATAGCATCGATGTAGGAAAGAGAAAGGGATGGGAAAATGCAACTTTTAGGATGGCTCTCTGAGCACGTTCTAGAGGGAGTATATTAGTTTTTGATGCGCCACCCCAAGAAGTAACACAGTACTGGATAATTGACTGACATAACGCTAGGTAGATTTGAGTGATTAGTTTAACATCTCCGATTTGTCTAATTTTTTTAAAAATGTGCATCAATTTCCTGACACGTGCAACCAAAGCGCTGATGTGTTGTTTGAAACAAAGAGTTTCATCAATTGTGATGCCTAGATATCTGATAGAAGTAGTTTTTAATATACAAGGGCAGTTGCATGTGTCCACTGGACTAATTCTACATTTATGTGCGTATAATTGGGGTGTAACAGAGGTAATTGGACTCTTGCGCATCGAAAAGTGAATAAATTTAATAAATGTTTCTTTCAAGTGATAAAAGTGAACTGAAATGCCTATAAATTTAACACAGATAAATAATAAAGATAAGTAAACTACTCACATTAACACTCTCAGATAACATGAACACTTTCTTCTCACAAGCACATATTAAATTCTGTTTCAACTTCCAAGACTCCTCTGAAGTTCCACTCGGGGAATGATAATCACTGTCTGGAAATATAATTTATAATGTTTAATTTCAAAGTTAAAATTAATATTACTGAAAAAAATCATAATTGTAATTTATATTAAATTATGCCAAAATATAAGACAATGTATGAAACTAACAAATATGACTCTTTTAAACAAAAATTGCTGAATAAGTCTGGATGAAATTTAGTATAAAGATAAGTGATTGTTTTTATTCCAATAATGTTAATAGAAACCAGCTATGCTTATAAAGTATGTAAATTAATATTGTTACCTGAAGTCATTTCTGAGAGACTTGCTTTTATTTTAGTAGACACCTGCATTTTTCCCTTTATAGGGCTGTAGCCAGACACCTTCTTCTTCAGTTTGGTACTCTGAAAATATTTTGCAGTCTTCTCTTTCCCACTCTCTATTAATTTTCGAAAACTTACTTTTTTAGGTGTACTCTGCCTGCTAAAACTTCTGTAATTATTTAAAAAATGTATTATGATTTTTTTTTCTATATCTTTTTACGGTCACAATTTTAAGTGAAAATAATCAAGGATTTAAATATTTAAACCAACTAAAACTATGTATGATGCTAATGGTAAGAGTATTATTTATCATACAAATATTTTAAATACCTAGTAACTATATCCCATTCCATCCACTGACTACAGAAGGTATACGAGTTTGTTAATATGATTGACACATTTATGATGTTTAGTGCTCTGATTGACCTGCTCCAGTGAACCAACCAATCAGAGGGTTAAACACTGTAAAGTTTCTATCTCATTATACATAAAACAAACTTGTATGAGGCCCTCAGCTATGTTGCAGTACTTTGACATGATTAAGATATAAAGAGCACAAGTTTTGGAGCAATAAAGCATTTGTTTTCCCATTAGTAAAGCATGAAGAAATTAGTAAAAGTATATAAATATCTCATATATACTTTGGTAGACCCCTGACATGCCAATATTCAATTTGTAACTCACTCATTTCCCAACTTTGAAAAAAAATTTTTAAATGGACTCGATGTGGGGGTTACTTTTTCCTCCACTCTTTTGCAATCAATTTCCTGATAAATATCCTCAACAGACCAACCTATTTGACGTCGCACAGCCTTCGGTTTCCTAGTCTTTTCTAATGATGGCACAAAGTCCACACAATCCTCTCCGGGATCAATAAATCCAGCCTTATAATGTACAACAGTCTCTTTTGAAGTTACTTTAAAGTGTTCAGCCTTAAGATGTTCCAAGTATGCCATTTTTTCTGTGTATATGTCATGGCAAACTGGACAAACGTAATGGTGGAGTTTGACATTAGTGGTGCACTTATTGAAGTGTATGACATACTTGTCGTATTCATCAAACTTGTCATCACACAGGACACATGTGACATCCATGTCTTCAGGTATGTCAGGTAATGGTTGTGTTGCACGTGGAGGCAGTGATTGACTGGCTCTCCGTGGTTGTTCATGTGTAGCTACATCAGAAGCAACTAAAGTCTCATTGCTGCTGGATCTCTGTAGTTGATTCCGCTCTATGGTGCAAGTAGTTCGGCAAGTGTGAGTACCCAATTTACTGTATGACTCATTACAACCCACACACTTAATAGAATCAACATCACTGTCAGTCTCATCACTTATATCATGGAAGATATTGCTGTCCATATTGTCTTTGCAAAAGTTTTCATGGTTGTCATCTTCAGCAGAAACAAATTCTTCCATGGTGCCATCGTGCATGTGAAACTCCTTGTTGAAAATGCTGTTATAGTCACTAACAGAGGACTTGTCTAAGTTTGTGTCTAATGAATAAAAAGAGAAACATATTGGTGAACGAAATAGGTTTCAATAACAATACCTACAAAGGCTCAGTAAAATTGTGATAAAACAAGTACAGAAAACCATTAGGAATGCAGTCTTAACTAAAAAAACAATTAAATATATTTACATTTTAATGACTGCGTGCCTCTGTTATTTTTATTTTACAAATATAAAATAAGTTAGTAAAAGCATAATCAAATTGATCTGAATAAAATACCACAAAACGTAAAACTTTTGTGGTCTTTCTTACCTGGACAGTTTCTCAATAAGCTATCAATTCTTTCACATTGTTGTTTGAACAAATAAGCTGTGCTTAGATTTTCAATACAAGAAGTGCAAACTCGATCTGATAACCCATCACCTTCGTATATCTAGAAATAAAACATAATATAATTATGGGAGTGTCACAGCGGTTTTTTTGGTGATAAACGATTGATTTATAAAAAACTATACTTACTTGAATGTTAGTAAAAGACATAACCATCTCAGATAACTTAATGCTCTCATCTTGTTCAAATATTGAACAAAAACCACCAAGTTTTAAGCACAATCTACATTTTTGGAATCGGGACTCCATTTTCTATAAAAATAAACTTCTGGTATTACTCAATCCCTTCAGCAACATCTCCCACTATTTACATGGGATATTTACACATTTGAACGGTACTTTAATTTACGACAACACGTTTTTCATTAGGCAAATAATCTTCAACTAACCGTCTTTTTTAAAACTTACTTTGACATTCTTTGGCACTCGACGTAACTTGAGTCAAAGTCAACATTGATTGAGATTTCCTCCAGACAAGTGTTGCCACTTTATTATTTTTTCTTTTTGTCCATTGATGGCACGAAGTACACTAAATTAATATCAGATAATTGGTATTGAGAGCCTAGATTGATAGTAGGTAAGAGGTTCTTAATAAGAGAGTAAAGTTAAAGCTAAATTATGAATAGTTAAATTATCCATTCACACCTGGCTAAAAATATTGTTGTTACTTTCCTTTCAAATCAGCTGCTTTTGACATACAAATACAAATGAGTGCTGATGCTGTCAATCAAATCAGTAGCTGTAATATTGTCAAAAAATGTAAACACCACTGTTTCACACTTTCACAAAAGTTAATGTTTATGAGATTTATCTCAAATTGTACTTAAACGAGTTATATTTCATATCTATTTTTAAATATATAAAATATTAAATATGCAACCTGAGTTACACGTGGATCCAAATATTTATACGAGGCCTTTCCCTCGTTTTGATCGGCCCATAATTATTGGTTACATTGGTTTAGAAAATCTCAAGTATGCCCGCCGTATTGGTAATGAAAGAGTTCGTTATGACTTAAACTTGCATTTAGACAAAGCGATACACCGACCACAAGACTTAGATGTTAGACTTAACGATTTACTAAAGTTTTTATTGGAACATGAACGCCGCTTGAACTTTCCTATAGAAAATAGTTTAGATAAGGCCAAATTCTTTTGCTACCGTGGCCTAATGACTTGTGTGGCTTGTACTCCTTATGAAAATAGGGAACCCTGGAAAATGGTTGCTATTTTATATAAAGGGAACATTTTTCTTTGTGCAAGAGATACAGAGGACAAATTGAATAGAAAACTAAATATGACTGAGAGAGACAAACAGTTTACATCATGGGGCTATAAATTTGAACAGTTCCTCTTGTCCGGTATGTATTGTACTAAATTATTAATCTTCAATCTCTCTAGTAGGATTATTAAAGCACGCTAACTACTTTAGTAGACAGCAGTCCCACCCTCAATCTATATTTTATTCTTTCAGTCCCTTCTACATAAGGAACATCATATGATGTAAACATAGTAAGTTGGTTATTGTAAATAAGTGTTACAAAAAAGGGTAGGCAGAGGTGTACATTATGCCATGAGTCCCATGTAATAGGGGATGAACCTATTGCCATATACCGGGCACAATTCCATTGTTGCCGACCCCGACCCCGAGGCAATGTTACACTTCATTGTTTTCAATTAATATTTATAGATGAACCAGATTCTGAACCAAATCCAGATGTTCCAGTGGATGAAAATGAGGAGTTCTCATTAGTTTTCACAACACATTTGAACCATCATTCAATAGTGTATGGAGCTGAAATGGATGGAATCAGGTGTGACAAGGAGGCTGTTCCTAAGCCTCCTTCCGAATTGGGACCAGAAGCTGTAATTAAATATTTATCTACAAAAGAGTTTATTGAATTAAAAACCAACAGGCATATAGAACATCCCAAACAAGAGACTAGCTTTAGGTTTGTGAATCATTTTCAATTAAATATAATTATGTATTAATAAAAAAAATCTGGAACTGATGTAATTTGGTAAATATTTATTGATCTTCTATGATGATCTGGATGAGGAAAGATTATGACAAACACCTCTTTTGTTAATGAGGCCTATAACCCAGCTGTGGAATCACACAGGCTGTTGATGATAACATTGATCTTAGTATCTGTGATATTTCCAATATCTTGAAAAATATCATACATTTCTTGGTATACTATAATAGATCCCTAAATAAACTATATATAACCTTGGTATACAAGATTTTAAAATACATTAACAGTAATTTTTGTTACTGAGATTTATTATCTTTGTATGTAATAATTGCCTTTGCCCTGCAGTGGGATGATTATGGCTGAAAATAAAATAAATAAATAATGTAACAAGTACTCTCTAGGGGTGGGTATTTTTCCTAATTTAATTTTTATTTACCTATACATTTTCATTCAACTTTAGTGAACTTTATTACAGACGATTTAAAGCAAAGAAGTGGTGGTGTCAGTCATTCCTTGCGGGTATAGACACCATACTATGTGGATACAGAAACGATGATGGAATTGTGGAAGAATTGAAAACTTGGAAAATTAGGGATCTAGCAAAAATGTCTCAGGTAATTTTTTTCTTATTTTAACTCTCTATCAAGGTCATGTTAAAAGTTAATCTATATACTTATATAGTTACCTACTGTTATTGGTATTAGTTTTTAATCAACTATTTAAATATATTTAGTGATTTATTGAAAAAATATATTGTATCTTTTTGCATCGAAAATTGAGTGCATATAGAGTGCTTACCCAGTCATTTTTGGATTTTCAGAGATTTTGGAATCCTAATGTTTGCTTCAACTTCCTGGATACCTTTTTCACATACGTGAAAAGATGTTTAGTAAGAGAGATAAAACATAAACACGGGGAAAAGGGATTAAAGAACATTCCTGAATTACCTTTGATGAGCTTAATGTTTGAGTGGAGTCCCGGCATGCCAATTCAGGTAACAGGGAATTACTCACATCAAGATGACCCTATACTGTGGCCGTGGTTTGTAGAAAATTATGGTAAGGGTGTAAATAATGCATAATGGGAAGAGATCTACTAGGTAAGCATATATTTGGAAAAAGTATATTAACTAGAATGTAAGTGTTAATTGTTTTGGAAAATAATTAACTGTCTTTGTTCTTTCCCAATAATGAACTTTTGTTTTGATATGTAAATATATATTTATGTCAGTGTATATGGTTGTAAAGAAAATATCGGCTACTATCGTACCATTTATTATCACTGCATAGCAAATGGTGTAAATCAACATCCATAAAAGACTAATCAACAACATGGATATCTTCGCTTACAACTAGATATGCTTATATACCTAATATGTATTTTATCGTACATCAATAAAAAATATTTAGAAAATAAAAACAATAATTAACAGAACAACTTAGTTGTAATAAAAATAAAATGGTGTCATGTATTAAAACGTTCCAACCAATGATAATGCTGTATTTACATAACAATGATTTATTTTAGCAACAAAATCTTGACATGGACATTGGTACTTTTATATAAACATATATATTTTAAAATTTTAACAGTTATTCCTAAAAGAAATCATGTTATCAACATTAAAATTATACCATCTAATATGTATTAATTTTAACATTTATATTTTATAATTATTGAATTAATAATACAATATACATTCATTATGGTTGAACAAAATATCATAAAAACATTGAATTTATGGTTAATTTAATAAAATCGTTTTACACTTCACTTACAGTTCAATATCTTCGTCGTTAGATTAAACATCAAATACAAATAATAACTATCTACAGGTACACATCAATATTAGAACAGAAATATCTCCTATCTTTAAAAACGTTAAAATTTAAATTTTATTAAAACACTATTATGAATAAAGTCACTGTTCATTGAAACCTCATTTTATAAATCTTGCAATAGTTTAAAAATTAAAATTTAATTGCTATAAAATAATAGATTCAAATTAGCACATTATTGCAATCACATAAGGTTAAGAATATCTTGATATCAGGTTCAAAATGACCATTAAAAACGCTTAAACAGTTGTATCTGTACATGTTCGAAAGTTATTATTGGCTTGAAGATGTGCTAACGACCCATGCTGTAAGTGCTGAATACCGAAATAACAATTCAATAAGTTTCTCAGTTGATGATGTTTAATTTTTTTTAAGTTAGAAATATATTTACACGCAATAGTGTCCGTATGGTTGATTTAGTACCGACGACCTGTCAAAACGTAAGATACACAATTGTATTTAAATCTCATAGTCCAACAATGTGCACGAAATTGTAAAATATTCTAATTACAGAATATTTATGATCAAGTTCCTGTTATTCCAAACGAGTCATTATAATCATGTTACAATATGTAATTGATTACTTCACTATTTTTGTGTATAGACTCTGGTTGATCAAAGATAAGCTTACATTTACCATAGTTTGTATACATTTAGAATAAAATTAGTTATGTCGGTGTGGGTATTTATAGTGATGTTAGTTCACGTTTACGCGATTACATTTATATTTGAAGGTATGTACATTATTCGCATTCAGGGTGGAGGAGACAGCGTAATGATATTGAAATTCTGTGTCAGTTATTTCATTACATTTCTGTGTAGTCTATTATATTTATTTATTAATTTGTATTCCAACAGGCATCAATTAATTTACATAGCTTGCAATATAGTAGATAATAGTTATGGATTATTAATAATTTTAGGGATACTGACGATGAATTTCAATACTGGTGTCTCTTCAATCCTTTCTTTCTAGAAATTCTGCTGAAGTTACATTTACCAGTATAAATGTAAGTTAAGAGATGCGAATTATATCACAACACGCCATGACATACCACACTTATAAACACATAATTATAATAATTCTATTTCATAACACATTGTTATATTGAAGTGCACATTTATATCTGACATCAATCCATTAATATTACATGTTTGATGAATGTTAATTTATATGTCGGCGACAACCGTACACAAAAAATGAGGAATGGTATAACATTGAAAGTATTTACAAAGTGCCTCAACGTCTTTAATTTACGAGAGACGAGCCTTAACAAAATGTACAACTTAACAGTAATTAGGTACTAGTCGATTTTGGTAAGTTGTACCAAATTGGAATAACACTGATCTGATCACTGATGTTATTCGTTGTGTATCTGTTCCTCGACAAGTGATCATGACAAGTTATTTCTTTGTGTTGAAAATATTCTACAAACTTTAAACAGTCTTCGGTTTCACTTACATATACCTAGGTATATCCCTGTCGAATCAGTGTGTTTTGTACTAGCGTTATAACAAACCAACTACAAAGCTTCAAAAGGACATTTTTACTATAGCGTAGCTTTTGTTACTGAGGCACAGGTTCAGGAAATTAATTGAAATACATTAACTTTATGTATTTCATGCGTTAAGCAACATTTCAGTGTTGAAACAATACCTACATTACGAAACATAACAAAATACACAATAATTTCGCTAGGCCTTCAAGTTTTGAACTTTACATAAATTAGAAGCCGGTCTTTTGGCGCCAGTTATCTTCACATTAAGTGTGCAAGTTACGCTAATATGTAAGATCGAGTGAGAATGAAGAATATTATAATTAGAAACAAAAGGCGGAAGAAAATTAATAATAACCTATATTAATAGACAATGTGATTTTACGATCAACTAACATTAATGTGTAGTAATATTTTCACTGCTCTCGTATCTATCTATTAGCGAGCATTGTTTTTGGCCAAAGACACGCGACCTGCTTCGACCGGCCTCGATATAAATGAAACAACAAATAGTACTTTAGTTACACCTTACAAGCTCACTGCAGCCACGTTGGCAGGTTCATCTCTTCGTCCCGCATTTTATGCGATCAATGTAAATTTAGTATATCAGTAAAACTCCTATGTGATAATAAAATATATTAAATCTTTGTGCTAACTTACAATAAATTCATTTTTCATAAACTATATACTATTTTATCATTTTTTTTCTTATGAAAAACCAATTCTAATTTACTAAGCGCGCTTGGCACGCTGCATTGGTCTGGTTAAACACTATAACTACGTACATTAGCTACTGTCACATGATCTTGATGATGGAACTGGTTAGCTAGTATCACTATTGACTGTCTCCACTAATACATATATAAAATAGGTATCAAAACTTCGATGTTTCTTTGTGATTTACAATGAGCGCAGATATTGTCACGAGGCACATACCACCTTCCTTACACTTATGTTACAGTACAAGCACGGTTATTGTAAAATCTGTTAGGAAACACAACTTACTGTATAGACACAAAATATTCAAGATCTAAGTTATATATTAAGATGTTATACTGCAACAACTAACATCAATATACTCCATAATACAAACTCCAAACTACAGCTCGTTAAAAATGTACAAAATCAATTCATGCGAAACATATCTTGCTAGAAATATGAGTGAACTAAAAATACTAGATGAAATTACTATCTAACATCGATTGAACGTTCAGCTTAACATAGTATGTTGAAATCTCAATAGACTTGATTGTTTACAAGTGGTACATGCCTAATATTGTAATAACGTATACAGTCGGCAAACACTAAAGTTATCAATAACTCCCCTATATCTAGCTAGTACATAGTACACATAACAATAATTACGTATCTACCGACAGTGCGTCCTTGTATATATCAGTTTCACATCAGGCTGAACGTGTCGTATCTTTAGTCTTCTTATACTGATTACAGTTGGATCTTCATATTAAAAATACATTATATATTATGTGGTCCGTAGCATCACACGCTAGCTGCGCATGTCGACAGCTGAGCCGCGGTTCAACGCGCAGTAATCATCACATTTTAATATACATAATCAAAGGATTGCAGACAAAGTAATCGTTCGAATCTAATTCCATCAATTGTTTTGTTTGTATAAAATGCCAATGTGTTAGGCTAGGATATCAGCAACATATCTGTAACTTATAGTTCATAGACTATGTCAGCTTTTAATTACTTTAATTAATTTTTTCAACAAATTCATTTCCAATATTTTATGTAGCTAACGAATAGCCAACCTAATCGAAGCCGTCACAAAATAAAAATAATAAAATTTAGAGTTACGCTTTTGCTTACTCTAGTAATTGATGTCACATAGCTTTTATAATTATCACAATATTATAGTGCATTGAATATTGACTCAATTTTTGGGAGTGTGCGATCCGAATTTAAACTAGGTATGCACAACTTAGCACTTGCCTTCACTGAAGGCATACAAATACATTGTACTCTGTAGATATCCAATTTATCGGTATCTGTACAAACAAATTCAAACTTATATAATTACTCTACATATATACAAGCGACGATACACGAAACAGCGGACTAGAGATCGACATAGGGAGCGGCGTCCATCTTGTCGAGGTCGGCCAGCAAGGCGGGCGTGAGCGGGTCGCCCAGGATGTCCTCGCGCAGCATGTCGTGCAGCGGCGACGTCAGCGTCTGCTCGCTGTCCACCACCGGCTCGTGCAGCGCGCTCGACCCGCACACAGAGTTACCGTTTATGAGGAAGTCTCGGTTACTGTAACTGAACACGCTCCTGTCCTCTGCGAACTGCGGAGTGGATGGCACTGACTTGGACGATATCCCGTTCGATACGTTAGAGTAATTTTCTGCAGCGAACAGTTCTCTGGACCGGCGAGAATCTATTTGCAAGTTGGGCGCGGTGCGTTTGTATGGGAGCGGTGTACTCGGAACCGATCGTGAAGTGTAGTATTTATTTTTTTCTGTAACTAATTCCGACAAGTCAAACTCGATACTGTTTGCTCGTTTTAGAAAATCTTCCACGTTGTCGGCGGTGGCACTGTCGTTGGTGAACGATTGGTTGAACTGGTTAGTTCTTTCGAGCAAACCGTCACCACTCGGTATAATCGAAGTCAATTGTTCATCCGAAAGTATTGGGTGTTCGGGCAGGGGATCACAGCCATTACTCAGAGTGTCATTCGTATTTAGAATACTTGTCGCACTCGAAGTGAGCACGTCGTTGCTGCTGTCAATGGCATCGTAAATCTTGTCCAGCGTTTCTCGATTAAGTCCAGCTTTGGAAATGTCACACGTATCAGCAAGAGATCCGAAATCACAAAACTCGTTGGGAACCGGAGTCGGCGGGACTGATCCCACTGGCGTATTGTTATAACTCAACAGCCCCATATTTCCCATACCCTGTTTCAAGGGTACCGATTGCGACCGGAAAGTGTCGGGACCTGATCTGTAAGTCAGTGACTCTTGGAAAAACTGACTAACCTCACTCGACAACGGATCAGCAGATAAGGGTTGGTCGCCATTGACATGATCTCGAAATGGTGTGTTGGGTAAAAAATTTAAACAAAGATTATTAGATCCATTAGACATCCCCGACGGACACGTGTACATATGATTCTTGTATTGTGTCATTATGTTGGGCGATGGAGGCGCCGAGATCGGTTGGCAGTATTTGCCTGGACCACAAACACTGGTTTTGCTCATAAACTTTTGATCGTTGGGGATAGCAAACTGTTTAGAGCAAGGGTCCACTACACCAAGGGACAAAGGATTCCGGCGTTTCCTTCCATTGTGCTTTGGTATAGGCCTCGGACACAATCGCGACCGTGGTACCGGTGTGTTGCGTGGACTCACGAATGGGCTCGCTGCGGTGCTGTGCGATATAGGGGACGTTTGTAACGAACCACCCATAATAATTTGTTTGTTTACTTTAGTCGGACTTTGACCCCTCTGTCCGAACCCTAGTGGTGATTTTGAATGGAAGTTGCCTGGAGAGTGGCAACCATCAGATATAGGTACAAACTCGTACTGTTGCGTTCTAGTAGTTGGGCTCTGAGGCTCATTATGGCAATGTCCGTTGTATAAATGCGGGCCACCAATGTTCCCTGTCACTTGGTTGGTAGCGTCATTCACATACGGCAAAGATGTGCCATTTTGATTTGGAACAGAAACAGCCAGCTTGTTGTTGTTTATAGAAGTTTGATTCGTTAAAGTTGGGCCATTCAAATCAGGTTCATTAGTTGCAAGTGGTTTGAAAGCACCTTCTGAAATAGAAGTCTTCGTGGGAGCAGGTTCATGACAGTTCTCTTGAGATATTTGTGACTCCTGATTAATTTGCATTGTCTGTAAATTAGACCCACTTTGGTTTTTTAAGTTTTTAGCCAGTAACTCTCTGAGCTGCGATATTTTTTCATTTTTGCCCTGACTATGGTCGTCGTGTGGGTCCTGGCCTTGTTCTAAAAAAGCAGCTGCGTTATCAGACGTGCTCGTGTTTGCTTGGGCTTGCGACTGATTAGCGCGTTGGTGGAAATACTGCAGTAACTCCTCTTCATGCTCTTGGCTGTTACCTTCGTTCAAATAGTCGTCTAAATCATGTTTATCAATGTTGCATATGCTAATCACACGTTCTCTATTCAGGATTTCAGAGTGTTTCTCTTCGCAAATCATTCCAGTTTTGATATTAATCCCATCTAGACCGCAACATGAATCAGGCGTCACGGTTCGCTCGGGCGATCCCGCCCGATCCGGCGAGGGTCCACTGGCTCGGCCGCTCGATTTCCGTAGTTTATTGCGTAGCATTTCGGACTTAGACGTCGGAGCCTTCACCGACCGTGTGGGACTCGCCGCCTCCTGTTCCTCCCGGGCCAGCGCCGCGGCGGTGCTTTTGGACCGGCTCGTTAAGTTTTTTGGATCCTCTAAAAAAGCAACCTCTGGACGAACGGGGGCATCGGCGGGTGCAGGGGCGGAGCTACATGCCACATCGGGCGGCACCAATGGGGGCGCGGGGGCGCCCGCCACCAGCGGGGGCGCGGGCCCGGCCGGCACTAGCTGGGGCGCGTGTACGGGCGGCGCCACTAGCGGCGCTTGCAGCTGTCGCGCCGCGGCGAGCTTGCCGCCCAGGATCTCGGCGGCGCGCATCTTCTTCGGCAGGTACTCAGTGCGCGGGAAGTCCTCGGGCACGTGGTGCGAGCGCGTGTCGGTCTGCGAGGAACGCGGCGAGCTGGCACGCGTCTCGCTGTGGTAGGTCTCGAGGATGAGCTTCTTGCCGGGCAGCGGCAGGCGCGCCGGCGGCGGCTCGGGCGGCCGGCGGCGCTGCCAGTCCGTGCGCTCGGGCTGCTGGTCGCGCGCGTCGCTGCTGAGGTTGATAGGCAGGTTGTGCGCGCTGTCGGCGGGGCGCGTGAGGTCTGGGCGCGTCAGGTCTGGGCGCGCGAGGTCGGGGCGCGCGAGGTCCGGGCGTGTGAGGTCGCGCGGCGCGTACGACGGCTCGAAGGCGTAGGGGTCGGGCCGGTACTCGTGTAGCGGCAGGGCGGGGTGTGGCGCGGCGGGCACGTGCGGGGGGTGGGCGCGGGGCGGGGCCGCGTAGGCCGGGAGGGTGGGTCGCACGTCGTACACGGGCACGTAGGGGGGCTGATACCCGTAGCTCATGTCGGGTGGGAGGGGCTCGCTCTCGTGTTTCATTGGCTGGTGGTGGCCCGCGTACGATGTGGACGGTGGAGATTCTCCAGACACTTCTTGACCTTTGTTCTTTTTAGGTCTTCCAGGAGTTCCCTGCGTCTGTTGATCAAATATGAATAATAAATGGTTTATTAACTTACTTATCTTTAATAAAACTTTCTATATTTCAGATGACCCCTTTAAATAACGTTATTACCTTGGCTTATGGAACTAGCGCTTACCTGTATTTTCCGTTTTAGATGCTTTATCAATTGTCGGCTTGTTGCGTCCTCAGCGGGTGCTGAAAAGAGAAAATTAAGAGTTCAAGATATGTATGCGTATAAATAAATCATTTGGCAACAGAATAGAAAACACTTGTCTCCATCGCTACTTATCCCGCAGGTTAAAGCCGATTAATGGACTACACGTTTCAATGAGTTTAGTTTATGACCTTTTAAACTGATCTCCAATAGACAAACCCCTCTTCCCGTTGTCCACCAGAGGCCTGTTAATATTGATGATGGGACGTAAAGATGTCGGTAATGACGTGTTTAGTAAGTGTAACGTACGGTGTGGCTGTGCGAGTGGGGGCGGGGACGCGCTGGCGGGGCCGGGCGGCGCTAGCGGCGCGCTCGTCGACATCAGGTGCCGAGACAACTCCACTATACTCGAGAACTTCACGCCTGGAACACAACACAAGTACTCCATACAATCAAGTCGCCGCTACAACTAGTCAAGCACTTTCCACGTACATGGAAACATCGAAAAAGGTTTTGTGCAAATGATCATAATATCACAAGATTTGATCAAGTTTATATGGTAAGGTACACAAACCAACAAATATTCCTCTCTATACCAAAGACATTATCGTTTGAATGTTTGGTTAAAAGAGTAAACATACTGTTACATACCTAGTTTTGTTTCGGCCCAGTCACAAACGATCCTTTCAGTTTCCCTAGAAGCCGCAGTTGGTTCCTGGAAAGTGCAAGATACAATTAATACAATTATTATTATTAAAACACATTTTATAACAATACTAAAATTATGTATGGTATAAAACTAAGGTTTGATAATGAATGCCATAGTAAATATAGGCAAAAAGATTTTTACTAGGTATCATTATAATAGGTTCACTTTTCTATCCGCTAAACGAGCCTCGGGATTTCGAAAACATACCATCCAGTAGTAAGCTGTCATTTGGTAAAATAGTGACAGTGTGATTAACATAGAGTAATATGGCTATGCTTAGTGCTTACTGCTCAAATCATCAAATGATGTAGTAGGAATCATAAAACAAAGCATTCAGTATCGACCCGATCACCCTATAATATTATAATTACTATGTATCCACACAAGAATATGTTCCTTGTAATATGTTACATAATGAATCATCGTCCCCAATGCACTTCCATTACCCATAATAATGAAATTGAACTTTGTAATTTTAACATTAGCTACCTTAGATGATTCACCCAAATCTGGCAACTGTGGCACTTCTAGTTTGATCTTTTTCCTCAGTCCTGCGTAACAGTATCTGAAACAAAATAAATAATACTAATTTGTATTTCAATAATTATTTGGCACATTTCCTGAATCCAAAACAAATTATGTCGCTTGTCAATTACAAATCTTATACTATTATATAAAGCAGCAGAGTTTGTTTTTTTGTTTGTTTGTTTGATTGAACGTCGTAATCTCCGTGACTACAAGTCTGATTTGAATAATTCTTTTTGTGTTGGATAGCGCATTTATCGAGAATGGCTATAGGCTATAAAACAACCAATAGAAACTGAGCAGAGCGTGTGAAACCGCGCGGAAATAGCTAGTAGTAAATATGTAGCTTCTATCAGCAGCTTTGACCGGTTTCCTGTGGTATAAAAATTATCCCATGTGTTACGACCATGATTAATCGGTATTCCAATTATCATCCCGGACTCTAGCCGTTTTGACATGATTCGATTGTATAACAAATATACACACAACCCCACAAACTTTTGCATTTATACGATTCAATTAACAGACAAGTATTTTCTCGAATTTCATACACTTTATATGTATACTCATATATCTTTCACGTTAAAGGATATATCGTAAAGAGCATTTTTCACAATACTGTTTGCAAGCTGATGCATTATTATGCAGAAAGAGATACATAGTGGCTGACACGTGCCGGATATTCATACATATAATGCATCTACGTATCTATGTTTGTAATGTATGCGGTGTGGGTACATAACTATTTATAACTTTACGACATTCATTTTTACATGGTACTTATATTCTGGCCAAAATGTTACAAATAGATACTTGTTTATTCATTGCACTTAGCACACGGTTGGGTGGAGAAATGTGAAAGTTATTTGTATCAAGTACTTACTACCTATTAATTAATACTATTTTCTATACAGATAAATAAAATTGGAGTGTCTGTAATAATTAAATAACACCTTTTTACTGCATGTATATGAATATACATACGATACATATACCAAAATAAATTTTTGACATGTTTTTCTGTGCCTGTTTGTACTGGCTAATCTCTGGAATGGCTGGATCGATTTTAACGGGACCTTATTGGCAGTTAGCTGATGTACTAAGGAGTAACATAGGCTACTTTTATTTTAGAGAATTTAACAAAAAAGGTAAGTCCTAAAATTCATATTCTACGCGTACGAAGTCGCGGGCAACAGCTAGTCTTAAATAAATGTGATTGCAAACAACATTTTAAAATTATTCTAAAGAGGTTACAAAAAGATCACGCAGCATGTATTGCGCTAAATTATGGACTATTATGTATTTGCAGATTTAAGAAAATAAACAAACCTTTTTCCATATCGAAAACAATCAAAGAAAATATGATGTTATATCACTTTTCACAATAATATCCGGTGTCATGGTTATCAGTATGAGGCTAGAAATGTATACCTACCTACGCTTCATTATCAGTAGTCCTACGTAATACTTTACATTTCTTTGTTACGTAATTTATTACTGTCTGATTGTCATTATAAAAATAAATAACGCATCGTCGTAACATTACTCTATTTATCCTGATTTCCACGTGTATTTGTAGTAAACATCCGATGTTATGCATAAATCGACGTCATGCGTTGATAATAATTAGATGGGGGTCAACGCCTTCTACACTGTTAGGAGCGCACAAGCTTTAATAACTATTCATTAACGTTCGCTACTATTTATAATTACGTAGGTAATTAGATTCCCTAGACCTTGAACTTATTTCAAGAAAAGCTACGTACGTATGTACAATATAGGATATACTACACGTGCAATATTTTGACAACCATTGATTGACTACGCAAGTGAGTTATTTACACGCTACGTTACCTAATTTGACAAAATATTATCTACATTTTGATTTGATTATAGTAATAACTACAATATTATGATTACAACTATAATTAGGTAATAATTAGGTACCTGTGATCTATAATCAATAAATGAATTTGAGTGTAATAACTACAATATAATATACTTAATATTTAATATTTCCTAATATTTCCCAAAACCGATTAGTAGTGTTAACTTTGTTTTTTCCAGAATCGGTTTGATGACTCAAAATAATTTATTATTATTTTCTATTCCTTTTATTTTCTCTCGAATCATAACGCTTGGGGGTTTTTTTTAGGTAGAAATAGGTGCAAAAAATAATGTCCAGTTTCCTGTGTGTTAGGATAATGTAGGAAACGAAACCGCGAAATATCTAAAGACACCTAAAACATTCAAAGCAAGACCGGAGCATTATATCTGTGTAGTGTTCGTGTAGACATTGCCATATAGGGGAACCGTGATCCGGTCGCCGCTCGTTATCAGTTCAAAGTATTAATATTTTACGATAAATGAATAAAACAATTGCTTCAAGTCATTGCTTTTAAAAAGGAATGACTGGAAGCAATGTACTTATCAGTGCGTATCTCATTTCTACGTCATAGATATGCTTTAAAACAAGATTCGTTCGTAATGATAAAAATTGCCAATTATGATGATCACACTACAAATTGGATGGAGAAATATAGTATAATACTTTTAATTAATATAACATAACATCACGCTTTTTATCTCCGAAGGGGTAGGCACAGGTGCACATTACGGTACATAATGCCACTGTACAATGTAACACCCACTTTTCACTCTTTATGTTATGGGTCAATTGCTCGACCTAGGAATCGAACCTATTTAATTAATATAAATTCATTATTTTATTTTATAACACCTTGGTACTTATATCCTTATTTTGTAAATGAACTTAAATTAGTCATATTTATGCACTTGGGTTGAAGTTGGTGATCAGAATACATAATAACGTAGGTAGGTGTCTAATTTTTTATTTTTACAATACAGGAAAATATACATGCAAATTAGGTACCGACACATAACGTTCGAGTTATTGTGAGTAAATTGATTGACGCATAATACGAGTCTGGATCTAATGCTCAATGAAAGGCAATTAGTTATAAAAATCTCAACTTATACTGAACTTGCTACTGGCTGTTACTATATTGTTATAATCGTAACGTACGCAAAAAGAAGATTGCTAGATAAAACGTAATGAGGTAACATGTCGCCTAGCTTCACTGATAGACAGACGGACGGACAACTCAATTTTTGATGCTTCAAAAGTGCCTAATTTAGGATTAATTTAAATAAATGCTTTGTCTTTAATAATCAAACTTAATTTTGCATTTGTGATATTAGTTAGGATGCATTTTATACACCAAAGAGGTTTTAAGATAACCGATTACAATTAGTTTATGATTATTTTTTAAATGATTAACGATTGTGTTTATGTTTTATGTAATACGCCTCAATAGAACTTTGACGTAACTTTACAGATACACGTGGATAGATAGATTAGTCATTTTCCAGTAGCATATACAATTTATATGTGTAGAGTATAAATCTATGTGCAATGAAGTGGTAATAATAATTGTTTAAATTACTCCCACTTACAACCGGAATGTAGTTAGGTATCCGTATGAAGTTAGCTACACTATAAAATTGTTGAAATATGTTATTCCAACGATGGAAATCTTGTTTAGATGTTTCACAAAATAGACCAGGTCATAAAAACAATAAGTTGTTTAAAATTACCAATTGCATTATTTTTACAATATTATTGCTGTCAAATCTGAGTTTAGTTATCTACAAGGCCAAATCGTAATTAGAGAAGAGATATCTGATCTACCAATATAAGTTATTACAGTGGATATACAAAAAATGTATGTGTATCTATACATCTGTATCTATACATATAATAAAATTGTAGGAAAGTGCACACTGGACATTAAATATTTTTTTTAAAGAATTCTTGGGCGTGATCTACAAACAGCACCGAAGCTAAACATATGGTTTATATAATTTTTGTCTGTTTGTCTGTATGTATGTCCGGGCCAAACTCAAAAAGTACTACATGGATTACTTCAAATTTTGCATAAATATTACTAACAGGTCGGGTCAACATATAGGCTACATATTATCACGCTATCACCTCTGGGGGAGGAGCTGTGAATCACTATTCCACGCGAACGAATTCGCGGGCAACAGCTAGTACTAACTAACTGTTACATGTGGCTACTGGCTACCTATAGCAGATTTTTTTTTTCTTTCGTTAATATCATAATAATGGGTGTACGAGAAATGGATATTCCATCATTTAAGACGGGAAAACCCCAAGGAGCTTGCTAGTCATAGTCGTATAATATTGATTTAATAGGTCTGCCAGTTAAGTTCTTAATCCCCGATTATGAAAAATCCACAACATTTGTTTATACAAAAGTAGTCTCTAAACATCGGAAATAAGGTATATAATAGAGTAAATAGAGACCGATCACCGGTGACCGCTTGAGGACTGGGCAGTCTGGCTCAATTTTTTTTTTCTATATATGTTAGTACGATCAAAGGCATTCATAATTACCTTTATATGGACATTTGATGATTCACAATCATCACTAATAACGACTACCAGGGCCGTATTTAAAAATCCAAATTCCTAACTGACCCATAATATTAATATTTGATTTTTGAAATATTGAGCAGATCATATTTTTCTCTAAATATTAAATCTGTTATTTATTGTATTTTTTTTTTGTTGCGTTATAATCTTCTATTTTATTTTAAAATATATTACATAGAGAAGTGAAATACAGCACTGATTGCTTCTTTATCAATTAATTATCGAAACTGTGATATCATATAGCTATCTCGTAACACACACAATACTTATCTAGTACTATAACGAAGGAAATATCGAGTCGATCCGAGTGTATTACCTATATGTAGGTATGTCAGGTATCCGATGTTGAGGTCCTCCTGTATTTATTATCATAAAAACGGTTCGACATCAAACCTAATGACGATGATATGAGATACAATGGAGAGTACATTACTAAGAATTAGAGCAAGTAATGAATTTTAAACAGTTTACATTGTATCGAATTTTCGGGAACATTTTTAGGTAGCGTTTAGGGTTTGTTTGTTTAACAGGTGAAATGTTATCTAAGTTCATATAGAGCTATATATTAGGATAATTATATTTGGTTACGTCGGTGTTAAAATATTTTAATTATTCATGTAATATTATGTTATGAAGCAAGTATATTGAAACCCATAGGGCACAATCGTAAATTTCAAAATTTGTCAAAATAGAAAAGTCTAGTTTACTTTTGAAACCGAAAGACAAAAGGACTCCTGTACTAGCTGGAGTCTAGCTAGTACAGGAGTCCTAAATTTGTCTAGCTTTAGTCTAGCTGCTAGACTAATCATTAAACCTTTTATATCATCTAAAATAAAGTTGAGACGCTTATGCAACATACACTACAAATACATTCATAACATAATTAATTTTACGTCTTTTATCCCCGAAAGGATAGGCAGAGGTGCACATTACGGCACTTAAATGCCACTTTACAATGTAACACCCACTTTTCATTATTTTATGCTGTGAGTCCATTGTATTAGGAGTGATCCTATTGCCATATACCGGGCACAATTCCAGACTCCGTGCTCTTATTGATATTTTTGAAAAAACCCAGTAATAGTTTCCCCGACCCAGGAATCGAACTCTAGACCCCATGCCCGGTAGTCGCACTTGCAACCACTCGGCCAACGAGGCAGTAATAAATTCACTTTTTAAAAAGATACTTAGATAAAAACTATTATGATAAGCACTGTGTGTAGGGACATTAGATGAGTGATATGCATGATCAAATAGATAAATAAGATAAGGAAAAATAGATCTATTATACTGCTTATTTATATTAAACGATATAAAAATTTAGCATATCACTGGTATTATAAAAAGTTTATTAGTAAGCAATCATTTCTGAAACATAAATATCTGAAAATGTGCATTGAGATTGTTTGTGTTGAGTATTTGATAACAACACTAATTCATTATTTCAATAGATGTTTGATGGTATAACAATGTGTATGCGCGTATGGTATCATGCTAATTTTCGTGTTTAGAGTTTCGCACAAGTTACAAAATATTACATAAAAAATTGATAGTCCTTCTTTTGTAATTTTACCATTTTCAGGATTTTTTAAGTTTAAGTGAAATATTGTTAAAGAATATATTATAATGTTGTTACCTGGAGTTGCCGCGTGTCCCTAGACGTCGCGGACGCACGGTCGGGTACACCTGCTTCATCACTTTCCCGAAATCAGCGGTAGAGAGGGGCTTCATGTTACTGCTCATACAATGTGCACTGCCAAAGGAAAATATACTTAGTTTCACTATGAATACATTACGTATTTGAGTTGAGTTTTAAGATACTGATTGTACAGAGATCCATCTTGGTCCCATGGTTTTGTAGTTAGTATTTTGGCCTGTATTCTTGTTCATAGTTTTTAAATTTCTTATTGATGTGTTTTATGAAATGATTGTCAGTAAAAGGAAGATATAGAATCAGTTCCTGTGTAGTTGAGGTGTGTAGCACAGGGGATATATTAAGATTGACACCTAGACAGGACATTATAGAATCATTCTAACGACTACATATATCTAGATGCTTTTAATAGATCTGAGCACAGCTCTCAGATGTGTGTACAAACAAAAAAACAATAATAAGTAAGTGGCCCTGAAATAGTAGTTTCTTGTGTGTTGCAAACATTTTTAAACATAATGTTAAACCCAAAAAAACCCATTTAACACCCAAAACAGAAAGGTAGAGGCACATGTAACACCCACTTTTCACTGGTTTATAACTTCCTTGAAACATTATATTAATTAATATCTCAAAATTCTTAAAAATACTTTGATATATCATACTTAATATTTGTTCATAAAAAAGTAGTCTCTAAACATAAGAAATAAGGTCTATAATGGAGTTAGTGGGAAAGCGGTCACCGGTGACTGCTTGGGGATTGAGCAGTTAAAGTAAAGTAGAATATTAATATGATAGAAGTACTCACATATATTCATCATATACATCTTGCTTAGGTAATGATACATCTGGGTCAACTTCTAAGTGTGTCTGTATCCAAGTTACAGTCTGCTGAAGTTCAGCCCTGGAACATGTGTACAGTTAGAATTTGAACATGATAACATTTTGTTCCCATTACAATAATATTATACAATATAGATAAGTAACAATGTAGCATTATTTATTTAGACAGATAGATTTAGAGAGATGGAGTGTGCTGTAGATTTTACTTAAAAAATTACAGTTTCATTAATCACTACATTTTCCATTGAATAAAATGATTTAGTTGGTCATATTAATAAATATACAAACTTTAAAAAACTCTTGGTGTTTACAGATCAGATAATGATTATGATATCACAATAAATCTATTGGTCTGATAAAATGCAAACACTCTTGGAATTCATACACAATTGTACATTATAACATATTATACACTTTCATGAAAATTCTTACCTAACAATATACATTCTAAACATTTCAATAATGAAGTTGAGTCAAGAGTTATTTTAGTCTTTATAGGTTGTCGTTGTATTTAATGAATGAGTAGACATACCGTGAACCCAACGGATTAATTGGTTGTTTTAGAGGATCATGTTGTGGGACTCCGGTCGGCAAGCGGAGGTACAGAAGTAGTCTCTCTGCACCACTCAGGGCCTCCACTGCTTCCAGTAACTGAGCTACCCTCTGCCGACCCTCCTGACTGTAACAATGTATTTCATGCAATATGTTCTATCTCAAACTTTCACTGTCTCACTCACACTGTTGTGTATGATTATCAAAATACCTAAACAAAATAATAACACATAACTTCAATATTGTGTATTTTAATGTTCTGTGAAATCACAACTGCATTTCCATTGCTTTATGTGACCAGCTGTACTTGATATTAATAATCAGCATAGAAAGTGAATGAAATGAAGGGAGTATGTACAGTGTACACCATCACTAACAGCTGTCTTACTGATAACAATGGCTTGCTCCTATCATTGTCAAACAACTTTTGATAATAAAATATGTGGGGATATATGAACATACAAATTCAGTATAGTTTGTTTAATCTAGTTTGGAACGAGTGACGTTACCTGAGGGTGTTCTCGACTATCTGCTGCATGGAAGCTATTTTATTAGAGTCCATGTTGGACTCGCTGCCCCGTGCGGGCTCGCCGCCGGGGGCCGTGGAGCTCGACGATCCCGGAGCGTTGCTTGGAACGGCGACACTTTCTTTATTGTAAGACGCAGTTTGCCTATGTTTTGGATGATTGACATTTTCCCGATGAAGTTTCGCGTCATCCACTAGTTCTCGCTCATTTTTAACATTTTTTGCACTATCGTCAGTGGCCCAAGGTTGAAATGGACTTGTACTATCCATTCTAACCCAAGCAGGTTATAAAAATAATGATAATTGATTTCATATTGAGACTTTTTCTAATCTGAATTATAAAATGCGTAACAAAACTCCATTTTCTTGACATTTGATCAGCTGTGCGGTGAGGTGGAGTGAAGGGGGGATGTGGGGTTATCAGAACAAGCTCCAGTGTTGCATTATTAAAAAAAAATATGATAAAAGTTTGATAACATTAAAGCTCCCTATAAATCAACCTTCAAAGTTTTAGGTAATCCACACAATATTATCGTTCCGCGGACAACCCCAAAGCAACCTCGGAGGCCCAATTACCCCCCTCCCTTTGCCCTATCCCTGAATCCCCATCAATCCTCAAATTCCTAATTCCAAAAGGCCAGTAACGCACTTGTAACGCCTATGGTGTTCCAGGTGTCCATGGGCGACGCCGATTGCTTAACTATCAGGTGATCTGTTTGCTAGTTTACCGGCTTAACCCGGTAAACTAGCACTAAAAAAAAATATAAACTGTGTTTGAATTTGAAACAATACCACTAATTAATTAATTAAGTTCGCACTATCAATTAATTAAGTTTTTTAACAGTATGTTTTGATGAGATTCCTTGTTATTTCCTTATATTTTTACGGTTTGAATTTGACCGTAGACAAAATGCTTTCTCAGTCTATGGTTTAGAATATTGTAGACCTGCCATAATGTCATTAATGTCAAAGTGAAGTTTATTTTTAAAACTATAAAATTGTTGTCTATGTCTTTGGACTTGTTTGATTTGTGCGTCGACGGCAGGTTTATCTAATAATTTTGTGTTTTATTTTTATTGTATGGTTGTTATTAATTTGATCGTGGTATCGCAATTTTGTCGTGAAATTATCAATACTTATTTGTGGTACAACTCTAAAATATAAGGTGGGTATGTCAAAATTACTATTATAATTTACTATGTAGCCTCCTCTACAACACACACGTCGTTGTAGTAGAAATTGTAGAAAGATACATGTTTACGTTATTAATATAAAAAAATATCCTATATACATGAAGAAAAAAGAAAAAAATCTTCAAAAAATATTGTACACATTAAAAGTATTTTTGTTTATTTACTACTGAATTCATAGTGCCGTCGACGATTCAACTGCTATTCTCTGCCCCTAAAGATACTGACCAATATTCTTTATATGGGTAGGTAGTGTCATAATTATCCTAAACTAGTATTCTTTCTGTTTCAGTGAAAATGTCAGATGAAATTGATATAGAAGAACATGATATCATGAATGATCCCTCCATTAAGAGCATATTTCCAGACCTTTCTGTGATAAAAAAAGAAATAAATGAGTATTATGAAGGAGGTATGTTGATTTTGGATTGCACCAAATTATTTATTTATTATTACACACACAAGTTAACATTACAGGTTTAGGACCCAATGCGATAATAAGGTATTATAAAATCTAGCGACAAATATTTTCAGTTATATAATGACGTTTAACATTGTTATATATACATTAGTTATATTTGCATACAAATCATATACTGAATTTTATTATTATTGTTGCACATAAGATGAAGATGTTGAGATTAAAATGTGTGTCACGCACCACATGTAAAAGTCACGGGCCGCATGCAGCCCGGAGGCCTTAGTTTGGACAGCCCTGGCTTACACCATATTAAACATATACAATTTATTTATTTATTTATTTATTATACCCCTTATTTTATTATTTTATTATGCAAATAGAAATTGTAATGCTGTACTAAAATGCTAATGCGGCATTTTTTGTGATGATTTTCAGTCAAGTAGCCTATTGCTATGAATAAGATTATTTTCAGAATTGCTTCTATAAATTTGCTTATTTACCTATTTGTTATCCTTCTTGGTCATATATGCATACATAAAATCTCTTTTGAGTATATTAGTTATTATCTTAACCACTTGAATAAGTATATTAGACATAATAAAAAAACATTGTGTCTCGCATAGATTTGCATTCCTGCACTCCACTGGTTAACGAACCAATAACAACGTAGAATAGAATAATCTTTATTGTACACCATTAATAATATAGCACATACATAAAAAGGAAATAACAAACATAAATTTTTTTAAAAATGTGCACAAATGCGGTCTTATCACTTGTAGTGATTTCTACCAGACAATCTTTGGGTGTATATAATGCAAAATAGATATTTAGACGAGTTATGTACTAAGAAAATAAATAAAGAAGGCTGATCAAATACTTATACAGTTGAACTAGGTATACCAATATGAATAGTTGAAAGTTTTGTGTTTGTATAATCATAATAAAAAATATTTTTTTATTGCAGGTAAAAAACATTTTTTTAAATATTTGAGGCTTGATTTTTAATTATTAATTCTAGTTAATGTTTAACTCTTGTATACAATAGCCAATAACAAGTTAATCAGAAAAAAAATCTGAATATACATTGCAACAATGTTTATTTTGTTTCAGGAAGTAATGTGCCTGAAGACACTCAATTAGAAAAAACCATTATAAAGGAAGAGTTGGATACTTCACATACTAATAACAGTAATGTACCAGATGTTGCAAACACGTCACAATGTGTAGAAACTCGACAAGAAAAAGTTGTAATTAAAAAGGAGTTAGATGCTATACATAGTGCCGGTAATAATAAACTAGATGTTGCAAACACTTCACAAGGCATAGGTCTAGATAATCAACAAGAAAAAGTTGTAATCAAGACGGAATTAGATGGTACACATAGTGCAAGCAATAATGAACCAAATATTACAAACAATTCACAAGATTCAAAAGCAGAAACAGAAAGTGATACAGCCTTAAAGTACATTCATGAAAATATTATCGTTCTTGGATCAAAACCTTCCACAAGATATGACAACACTGATAATAAAAGTATAGATAAAGTAGCAAAGATACAATTAAAGAGAATAGATAACTTTTTGGAATCATGTAAAAGGTATTGTGAGGAATGCCTAATAGTGTTTCCAAAAAAGAATTTATTTAACCTCCACAAGATTAATAAACATAAAAAACAAGACCGGTTATTGAGAGCTCAGAGACAGCACCTTAATACAACACCTAAACCTACAGAAACTAAAGATAATCCCAACAAAATTGTTGTGGGCCAACTGCCTCAAGAGGACTCCACAGAGCTCTCTTGTTTTCACTGTAAACAACTATTTCCAAATAAATCATGCCTGATTGAACATCTTTATAAAGTTTTGGAACCCAATGAAATTAAGACTAATAACACTTCAACAGCTTCAACCACTAATGACGAAAATAAGGAAGAGGAATGTGCCGATGAGTCTGTAAATAATTTAAAAAAATCAAATACCAAACAACCTAGCACTGTCCAACTAAAACACAAGAACAATCACACTACAAAGAAAAACGACAAGAGCAAATTGCCGCAGAAAATACTTCGAAAAAGAAAATTATTAAATAAGAATAATACGAATGAGCATGTTCCAAAGAAAAAATGTGTTACAGATGATAGTATAGTGTATGATGATAGTGATGAAGGCGGTAAAAAAGAAAAAGAATTATTGTATAGGTGTTTCATATGTTCCAAATACAATATTACTTACAAACACTATTCGCGGCATGTAATAACAGACCACAACATACAGCCACCAACAAATGTAAAAAAAGTTCCATTCGATCCAAAGTGCACCTTTTGTTCATCGAAACTGGCAAACATGAAGTATTATAACATACATTTATATAGGTCTCATAGACAGCAACAAAAAGGTGTCAACTTTCGACCTAATGGAAATATAGTTCAAAAAAATAGTTATCAGTTTGCATTAAAAAGTGTACTGTTCAAATGTATGACATGCGAATTATGTTTCCTAACATCAGATGCGGCGATAAACCACTCAAAGCATAAATTAAACAATACTAAAAAGTGTTCAAAATGCCACAGATTATTTAACAGTGAATATATGGCAATCCATAAGAACCAACATTCACAATCGAAAACTTTCACTGTCCATACACTTGCAGATACAGCTTCTAATTCAGTACTGTACAAGTGTTCTGAATGCGCTGTACATTACAGTGAAGAAATGTTTTTGAAACACAATTCTAAATGCCATTCTGAAACACCAAATTCATCACACTGCAAAATTTGTGACATTCTAATAAATAGCGATGACATGCAAGTTCATAATTTGAGTCACAAAAAGCACAAAATGTTATATTCCGATTTTATAATCATTGAATCCGATATTATGGATAATAAGGATACAAAATTGGAAAAGGTTACTAAAAAATTGAACATCCTGTTTTGTAAGACTTGCGATTGTTTTATGGTTAAAAATAGTATTGTACATTGCCAAGGAAAATGTAGCCATATAAGTAAAACTATATGCAAAGATTGTGGACTTGTAATGTCCATTAAAGCTCACTTAATACACAGAGAGACTCACAAAAAGAAATATGTTAGTCTGTTCGATTATACATTTATCGATATTAAATCCAAGAAACAAATTATTCCACCAATACCTGTGTATCCTAAATGCAACATTTGTGGTGTACACTTTTTGAGAAAATCCGCCATAAGATCACATACATGCGAAGAACAAGACTACATATCTTGCAGCATCTGTTCAATAAAATTGACAGAGCATGCTTATAAGTTGCATATTCCATTTCATAGCTATTCTAAACCAAATACCATTCGTAATCTGGAAGACGCCGTGAGTTTGTGATATTCAAGTAAGATATATATCCAAAGAGTAAACTGCTGTCTCATTGTTCAGAATATTGCTGGTGCTTTTTTATGTATATTCTGGAACATTATATATGGCATTGGTGAAGACAGTCTAACCGGAGTGATCAATTCTCACATAGAAGTGGATGCTACTAGTCGGTTGACTGGTCATTTATAAAATAATATGTATCCTTAAACGAATAAGGAATCCTTATAGAATAGTTGACTGCACGGTTGGTGCGGTGGCTGGGCAACCGGCTGCCGTCCAACGTGTCGCGGGTTCGATTCCCGCACGGGACAACACTTCGTGTGATCCACAAAGTGTTGTTTCGGGTCTGGGTGTCATTGTGTATGTGAACTTGTATGTTTGTAAACGCACCCACGACACAGGAGAAAATCCTAGTGTGGGGCAACGTTTAAAAAAAAAAAAAACAATTTGTGCATCCTCTTGGTATATATTTCTTAGTATTTACTTAGGTTTTAAGGCCGCTCAAGTCGGTTAAAGAAGTATTTATTAATGTTTTATGTATTTAATTTGGTTAAGTGTTTTGAAAATTAGTTCCAGCATTAAGGAGGAGAAATGGGGGTTGCCTGGAAAGTTTTTCGGGAGTTTTGTAAATTGGCTATGTTGTAGATTGAAGATTTTGATGCGCTCTTTCTGTTTTCCATTTTGCACCATCTTGAACACATGGCGTCCACAAACAGGTTTCTTGCAATATTTCTTTTCCTGTGCATTTTAGGAAAAAAACTACTACAAAATTAAACTACTCACAATTTCCTACAATTTACATCTATACCAGCTTTTTTATAATTTATGTAGTTTTGGCGCCAGAGCACAGCATAGGACATTTTTATGAGCATTTTGAAAAAAAAAAATATAATGTAACTTAATTCGTGGATTAATATTAGACAAAATGTACAGATTTTTAATATTACTTTTAGAATTCAATAACTTCTGCGCTTTACATCGCTTTTGTAAACAAGCTCATTAGCTGACAGCCAGCTAGAAAATCTTGTGAGATAAAAAACAATAACTATGATAAGAGTTAAATATATTTTATGTATTAAGAAGAAGTGGAGTAATTTGGTTATAATTTTTCTAATTAATAAATATTATATATTAAGTTTATATTATTAAGGTTATACTAGGTTTTAGCTGATGCGAAGCAAAATTTTTATTAACTATCGTGAGACATAATAAATTAACTAAAAATCGCAGGTAACTCGCGTGAATATATAGAAAGAGCGTTAGAAAAGCTGTACTAGTTTAGAAAAGCGCGGTAATGTCGCGCAGCCTACGCGACATCGCTGCGACCGCGCACGCTGCTCGTGAGAAAGACCCCTCTGTGGTTCGAAACTAGTAGAGCTTTTCACATAGGTAAGTAATTTTTACGTAATGAAGCAAAATTATCTAAAAAAAAAGGAAGGATTATTTAATAACTTAATTACCCCGCAACCCACCATGAAATAATTATATCTACACGAAATTGTATCGAGAATATGCATTATTACCTTAAGACTGATCTTAAAATTATGTAAAAACAAATGTTAATAATGAGTTGCATATTTTAGAATTATAATATTGTTTTTGTTTGTTGTGTATTGTTCTGAATTTTGTCTCTAGAGATTAAGAAGTCGTATTAAGTGTTTTGAAAATCTATTCGTGAAATTCATGATTTAGCAACAGACTATTCGTTATTCCTGTCGAGATTTGATAATGAAATTATTAGTTAATTCCCGTCAGGCCCGCCGTAAGCGCGCGTGCAAAGCGTGCACAGCACACGGACGCACGATCCTGGGGGCGGCAAATCGAGCGACTCATTACCTACTATTCAAAATCATTGTCCAGAGTAAGCAGAAAGCTTAAGAAATATCATCGCCGGGAAAGAATCCCACTCGACGCAAGCAATATTAGCGTTGTGTATTACGTTTGAGGCCCTATACCGGTCAGTAGCGCCTTAAATTCGAAGTCTATCGAGCGTTCTTGAAAACGATTGAGCGTCCACGATCACATTCGAAAGTCACTCAAAAACTATCGAGAGACCTCGAAAACTTTCGAGCGTCCTCGATCACTTTCGAGCATCCTCGATAACTATCTAGCGGCCTCGAAATCTATCGAGCGCCCTCGATCAGTTTCGAGCGCCCTCGATCAGTTTCGAGCGTCCTCGAAAACCTTCGAGCATGCTCGAAAACGATCGAGCGCCCTCGATCACTTTCGAGCATCCTCGATTACTTTCGAGCGTCCTCGAAAACCTTCGAGCGTGCTCGAATACGATCGAGCGCCCTCGATCACCTTCGAGCATCCTCGATTACTTTCGAGCGTCCTCGAAAACCTTCGAGCGTGCTTGAAAACGATTGAGCGTGCTCGTAAACGATCGAGCGCCCTCGATCACTTTCGAGCGTCCTCGAATCCTACCGTGCTTCCTCGAAAACTTTTGAGCGCCCTCGATCAGTTTCGAGCATCCTCGAAACCTATCGAGCTTCCTCGAAAACTATCGAGCTTCCTCGAAAACTATCGAGCATCCTCGATTACTTTCGAGCATCCTCGAAAACCATCGAGCGTCCTCGAAAACCTTCGAGCGTGCTCGAAAACGATCGAGCGCCCTCGATCACTTTCGAGCATCCTCGATTACTTTCGAGCGTCCTCGAAAACCATCGAGCGTCCTCGAAAACCTTCGAGCGTGCTCGAAAACGATCGAGCGTGCTCGAAAACTATCGAGCGCCCTCGAAAACTATCGAGCGCCCTCGATCAGTTTCGAGCATCCTCGAAACCTATCGAGCTTCCTCGAAAACTATCGAGCGTCCTCGATGACTTTCGAGCGACCTCGATCAGTTTCGAGCATCCTCGATAACTTTCGATCGTCCTCGATCAGTTTCGAGCGTTCTCGATAACTTTCGAGCGTCCTCGATCACTTTCGAGCGTCCTCGAAAACTATCGAGCGTCCTCGATCACTTTCAAGCGTCCTTGATCACTTTCGAGCGTCCTCGATCAGTTTCGAGCGTCCTTAAAAACTATCGTGCGTCCTCGAAAACTTTCGAGCGTCCTCGAAAACTATCAAACGTCCTCGATCTCTTTCGAGAGTTACTCAAAATCTATCGAGCGTCCTCGATTACTTTCTGGACTTACTCGAAATCTATCGAGTATCTTCTTATATTTTCGAGATATCTTTATCGCGGGAGACGCTTTTGGTGTAGTATCGCGTCGCCTTTTCCGCCACCGTAAGCGCGAGTCTGCGGACGGCAAGCAAGGATCATGACACGTAGCAGACCCGAGCGTACGGCGCGTCGTGTAAAATGCAGGCCTCAAAGAGTCATTACTTCATCAGACACCACAGACGGACCCACCAGGATTGTTGCCTTGCTGGAGGGTAGGCTGTCATATGGATACTTGGGCCCTGGCTTTGAGCAAGTGTTGGAGGGAATGGGGTGGTTTTTTAGTTTGTAAGAGTTATAGGAGTCACTTCATCAAGAGTAATTTGAGGACTTTTACCCACCCAACCAAAAGGGGGGCGGCATAATCGGTATTTGCACGTGGGCGCTCGAATGCTAGCGGCGGGCGTGATTCCCGTAGGTACCATCTATAAAAGCAGCGATAACTATTTCTTGTATAGAAGCAGATGAACATCATCTCTGAAAATCGATTGGATAAGAAACCATAAAAAGGCATATCAGAAAGTTGAAGTATGTACCTTTAGTAAGAGACATTTATAAATATTATTTTTTACTGATTGATAGGTAGTGTAGGTTTCAAGAGCAAATTCATAAACAATTCAAGCAAATTATTAAAATAATCTTTGTTAAGTTTGTCAAAAGTATTTATAAAAAGTAATAATGTGCCTTAATTTACCTATAATAGAGAAACAAATATCTGTGAAATTATTAGTAATATAGAGAGGCTACTGTACTATGTACATCATGCACAGTTTACATCTGCCAAGAAGTGAAAATTGTTCACTAGATTTAAGTTTTTTTTTTTCAGTAATAATATTTAAATAAAACTATTTAATTTTTAATCCTGGTTTTCTTTTGTACCTTTTATGCACCTACTAGTAATTAAATACAGAAAGATAGTTAAGAATATGTTGTTTCTGCCTACCTCCATGTGAGTTTATGTACCTATATGTCGAGGGCTTAGTACGAGTTTCGTAAGCGTTCGTCGTTCCGATTGGCCGGCTCCAATAAACCATCCAATCAGAACAACAACCACATTACCAGAGCGCCGAACGTCTGGTTTCGCTAATTTTAAACGAAAAAGGAACTCATAATAAGACCTCTGATAAGGTAAGAATGATGATGTCTGGAGATGGAGATGTCAGATATAGGAGTTGACCCTAAGAGTAAAGGGGTAGGTTGACTGAAACTTTTCATTTGCCGTGTAAATAGGTTTTGTAATAGGTGTGTTTAGAATAGAACCTCAAAACGGGTGAAGAATTGGTATTACATAGTTCAAGCCAAGTATATGCCTTAAACACCTCTGCTTCCCATTTCTAGGATTCAATGATTTACATATTACATTCAGTCACTAATCTGACTGGTCGATTACATTTTTACATTTAATAGAAAAGAGTTGGAAGCCTTACTTTTTTCCAACTCGTCCTTCTCATGGAAAAATAATTATTATAAACTGTAGTGATTACTATACAATGGTCCTACTAGACACGACCTAGAAAGCCAATGTTGCGTTTAAGAAAATTAAATAAAAGTAACGGGAAAATAGTGGTATCATCCCATCATCTGTCAAAGTCAAAGTCAAGTAGGTAATTTTTTATCTTTGTCAACATCTCGTATCCAGTTTGGCATTTATAATTAAAACTTTATTTAGTAAATGATTTTAGTAAAATCTGGCATTTTAAATTAAATATTTCGTTTTTCATTACTATTATAGTCAAATAAAATAATTATCAATTATGAGTTAAGGTAAAAGTGATATAATTATGTTTGTGTAACAAAATATATTCACAACGAAGAGTGAAAAGAACAAATCTTTTAAAATGTATTTTTACGAACGGTTTTGCCAGTGGTTAGGACATTTAAAATTATCCCGTGTTATATTACTGGTTTCAGTAATATTATTTGTAGTTCCCCTATTCACACATTATTATTTATCTAAGGTACGTTACCGTATATTTACTTTTGCTATCTTTTGTGGTTAGGACTAAAAAACTTATATTTTCGAGAGAAACTAAATAATAAACTAATATTCATTGTATCTCGTGATCTAATTCTTTCACAATTTTTCTGAAGTCTGGTATTTTGATATGTGCAGATTTTATGAACAGAAAGATTTATTATGTCTGATCTATGAATTAATAGTGCGACTTTCTCTTATAAAAATTGCATGAACAAGAGTTTTACATCTGTAAAGTTTTTACACACATCTATAAAACACGCACACAACAGTCATAATACATAGATGTTTCAATTACTTTTATAAAGATCAAACATAATGTCTGATATGGAGTGTAGTGTACTATACTGTATAAGTGTTATAATTTTTCCAACAATATATAATTTTTCAGTATGATGAGACTGGCACTCTATCTAGTAATCCAATGCGCCACACGCTGGAGGCTTTGGGTGATATCTCAACAATGAATGCAGCTGATTTGAAACTAAGGATTGAGGAAATGTTGCGAATAAAGGTAATATACATTTTATCAAGTTCTCTTTGTTTGATAAGAATATCTAATAAAAAGGGACACCCTAAATTAATTCGAATGTTGCATACTTAACAAGTCCCAAGAGAACAGATTGCTCATAGGTAGGTAGGCATGCTCCACCATAGGCCACAATATCACCACAAGTTCACCCAGTTGTACTGTCTCTTCTTTGTGCTTTTAGGCTTAATTCATTCTATCTCCTGCAGTAATTCACCGAGGGAAGTGGAAACCATAGTTTTTTCTTCTTCTCCTCTTATAATATCTTCTGATTCTCTTCATTGCGGGAACCAAGACAGTTACTCATGTCCTTGGTACGCGCCGGACTTCAGTGTTCCAATTTTTTCATGGTTGTATCTACTGTAGATCCTGGCATACAGGAGTTGCAGCGGTTTTGGGATGTTATGGCGGGCTTGTTGCAATGAAAAAAAATAGAAAAAGGCCACAATATCACTTACCATCAGGCGACATGGTGGCCAATCACCATCCTAATAAGTGAAAAAAGTACTCTCATAAAGTGTTCACATACATACCTTATGATTATACTGAAACTACAAAACCCTAAAGGGTTTAATCATGTATCTTTTTGGAGGTGAAAATTCTTGTTTAATTCCAAACATTACAATGTTTGTATCACCTCATTTGCTTTGATTATTGAATTCTGCATCTGAATAACAATGTTTATTATACTAGTTTATTTTCAAACATAAATATTAGTTTATAATTTAAATATTATTATCAATGATTAATCATAGTGCAAAAAATAGTGTTTGCATCAGATTATAATTATGTTCTTCACATTTATTTGATTTACATATTACATTTATAGGCTTCAGTATCGACCGAGTTACGTGAACTGGAGGCAAAACGCGGACGATTGCAGCGGGAAGCGGCGGCAGCGAGTGCTAAGGCGGACAGTGCTAAGGCAGAACACGCGCGAGCTGCTGCCGAGCTGCAGCGCCTGCGCGTGTCCGCCGACCAGGCCCGCATCGCGCAGCTAGAGGCCATTCGACGTGACTCACCAGAACTAGCCCCACCACTCCAAATACTACCCTCAAGACCTCCGCCCATATTGCCGCCTATAGCTTCTTCCTCTGAAGTCCACTGCCGCATGTTTTCGTGCTTCGACCACTCTCGCTGCTCCCTAACATCAGGTTTCCCTGTGTACCTCTACGACCCTGACGTCTTCGTGCCTCTTTCTGGCGCTGAGGTGGACGGCTTCCTGAAAACGACACTCAAGCAAACATTAGGCTACAACACCCACATAACGCGCGACCCTAATGAAGCGTGTGTCTACCTGGTCATTGTGGGCGAGGCTTTTCCATTTGTCAAGACTCCCGCGTAAGTCATGCTTTCATTTTACAAAATAAATTTCATTTTAATAAATGTTTGTAACTGATCAATATGTTTTGTTTTTTATTTTTAGGCCAACAACAGATACGTATAAGCTCCTGTTGAACGAGACTGCAATCAAGAGCTTGCCGTACTGGGGTGGGGACGGACGAAACCATGTGTTAGTGAATATGGCGCGGAGGGAGCTGTCAGTCGGCTCGGGCGACGCTTTCCGAGGAGCCTCGATAGGCCGAGCCATGATCGCACAGTCCACCTTCACACACGAACAGTTTCGACCAGGGTTTGATATCGTTATGCCTCCCGCACTCGGTCCGCCCGGGGGCGACGTGTGGGCTGACTGCGCACCTATCGCACCTGCAAGGCGGAAATATTTGCTAAGGTACCTACACGTTTACAGAATTGACATCTGTCCATTATTGAATTTGGTTTTATGTAATCTCATATCAGACTGTTTATAGCAGAATGTACATAATTATGCTATTATATGACTACATTTTACTTTTCTCAGTCAATATTTCAATAAGTGTTATACTTGTGTAACAAAGTATTCTGTCAATTCTTTAGGTATGAATTCATGAGCAAAATTTAGTTTTCAGGGTTCGCAGCCGCCGCCGAAAGGAATAGACAAGGATCACGATAAATCTCTGATCGAGGCTCTGCAGCAAATGGTGAAGTCTGCGCCAGCGTCTGATCTATTCCATCTGCAGTTCGAGTGCGACCCGCCAGTTGAGAAACGCGCCGTTCTGCCCATCGGGGACTGGGCGCTCTGTGGGACCGACCGCTCCCGCCGTGCCGTACTGAGGGACTCTACATTCGCACTCATACTGGCTCCTGCCGATAGAAACTATGTAACGACGGCTCTCTTGCAAGCGAGGCTATACGAAGCGTTACGATCGGGTGCTATCCCGGTGATACTCGGTGGCGACCGCATCAGGCTGCCGTTCGACGAGGTCCTGGACTGGCGGCGCGCGACCGTGTCAGTGCCGCGCGCGCGCGTGCCCGAGCTGCACGTGTTGCTGCGCGCGCTGGCGGACGCCGACCTGCTGGCGCTGCGGCGCCACGCGCGCGTGCTGTGGGAGCGCTACCTGAGCTCGGTGCAGGCGGGCGTGGACGCGCTGCTGGCCAGCCTGCGCACGCGCCTGCTGATCCCCGCGCGGCCCGTGTCGCCCACTGTGGGCGCCCCCGCCTTCAACGACTCGTACTCCCCGCCGCGGTTGGAACCTCCCGCGGTGGATGCTGAACCGGAAGAAACCCTCGGGCCGTTGGAGGCTCCTTACCCCAGTCCTGCTTACCGTCGCAATTTCTCCGTGGCATTGTTACATGGGTACGAGATGTGGAACGATTGGGGAGAACCTTTTGCACTGTACCCGCAGTTACCGTGGGATCCGGTAGTGACGTCAGAGGCTAGGTTCATGGGGTCGGCGGCAGGGTTCCGGCCGGTGGGCGCGGGGGCGGGGGGCTCGGGGAGGGAGTTCAGTGAGGCACTGGGCGGGGACCGGCCGCGGGAACAGTTCACTGTCGTCATACTCACGTACGAGAGGGAGACCGTACTAGCTGCAGCCCTGGCGAGGCTCAGGGGGCTCCCGTATTTGAATAAGGTAAAGTACATTAAATTCTAAAATGAATAGTAGGAAAAGTCTTCACGACTACTCTTTTTAAGTAAATACTTTTATAACTCATGTCTTTTACCTTTATATCAGGTGGTGGTAGTATGGAACGGTCCGTCGTCCCCCAGTAGCGTGTCGTCGTGGCCGGAGAGTGGTGCCCCGGTGGCAGTGGTGCGAGCGCCGCGCAACTCCCTCAACAACCGGTTCCTGCCGTACCATCTCATTGACACCGAGGCAGTACTCTGTGTCGATGATGACGCCCATCTCAGACATGATGAAATCGTCTTCGCTTTTAGGTATGTGACACTAGTTACACCATAATATCATGCTAGTAACTAGTCCGGTCCCTTAGTATAAATTAGAATATAACGGGTTTTGTGACGTGCAGCATCGATGGCCAGGTTTTTGATATTTTAGGTGTTTTTAAAACAAATATTAGACTTCAAGAGGTTCTTCCCAAACCAAACAATTGATATTAATTAGTGTTCTAGTTTCTAATATAACTAGAATATTATATTCTAAAATATTGGTCTTACTCTTGGTTAAAGAAATCGTTAACAGTAGCTTAAAGTAATTAGCAAAGTAAAAATTTAAAGTTTAATAATTATATGTTTATGTATCAAGGGTTTGGCGCGAACATCGTGATCGTATCGTCGGCTTCCCAGGCCGGTATCATGCGTGGGATCTCAACTTTAACAATGGATTCCTATACAATTCTAACTACAGGTAAGTTATTGACTTTTGACTTAGTCATACCTTTACGAGAATACCCGATTAGTTTCGAGCTCAGTAGTGGAATTAAAAGTGAAATTAGAAGTATTAGTATTTCAACAAACTTGCCCCAGGACTTCGCATGATAGATGATGTTTGTCACATAATATGAAATAGAATTATAGAGCTTGGTGTGACGCGATTTTTACGCTACGATAAAGAAACTCTAGTAGAAAATACTAATCTTCGTATATTGCAATAATGACCAGCTGTGAGCTGAGCATGGTACTGACGGGCGCTGCGTTCGTACACCGGTACTACCTGTGGGCCTACTGGCGCACTCTGCCGGCCGCCATCAGAGACTACGTGGATGAATACATGAACTGCGAGGACATCGCTATGAACTTCTTAGTCTCACATATCACTAGGAAACCCCCAGTCAAGGTATGATGAAGTTTTTATTTTTTGGCCATTGTTTGAATAGTATTTATTTATATTATCACGCCAGTATTTATTTATATAATCACGCTTTATCTTTTGTTGTAGTTTTAGAAAATATAGCTAAATACGTAGGCATAAATGCAAAACAACATTTCATTAAAAACTTTACAGCAGTGTCCGAGATGTGCAAGTCATTCTAATAATAATATGTCTAAAAATATGGGCGGTTTGACTATTTTGAAGTTATAACTGAATTACTTGTAAGATGATAATACCCCAAACCGATTTCGCCTACAATGACTATGGATCCATTACTTTTTAATTATTAGATCTAGTATCAGCTCTTACACATCACATAAATGTTTGGCGTGTAGAAAAGTGATGTTAATATTATGTATTATATGTACATAATGTGTATTGCCATACACAGGTGACGTCAAGATGGACGTTTCGGTGTCCTGGCTGCCCTGTTACACTGTCAGCAGACGAGACACATTTCCACGAGAGACATAAATGTATACAGTTCTTCTCACAGGTATGGAATATGTATAAAATGATTAATTTATCTGCCTATATGCCTACCAGTATGATGTATTGTATCCTATTACTATAACGCATGACATTTATTACGCGAGACTATCAATAACACGTAATTACGCAATCGATAATAACAGATTTAATATCTGTCTATCTTTTCAATTCGAAATAGAACCCAAAGATACAAAAACTTGACCAAAGGAGCTTAGACTTAAAACTTATTGTAATTACAACTCCAATATAAGCCAATTAGTAAACCAATTAGATCTATTTTCACTTGCACGTTAAATGAAACTAGCCAATTAATATTTCATTTTATTCTCTCCTTAGGTCATGGGATACACGCCTCTACTAACAACGCAGTACCGCGCCGACTCCGTACTGTTCAAGACACGGATACCGCACGATAAACAGAAATGTTTCAAGTTTATATAGTCTCCGGTTGTTCATAATCCACATAATTGTGGATACATAGCTAATTATAGTAATTATTTATTTAATTCATTAGACAATGCTAGCGAAACCAGTGGTACTAGCATAACTGTGTATACAATATTGCAGACAGTGGCGTAACTATACCTTTCGGGGTCGTGGCAAATTTATCAGATGGGTACTCGTTCCGTATAAAAAACAAAGTAGTTCTAATGGAAACCTCTGAACGCGTGCCCCTTCCATCTATAGGTCTATAGCATATTACCAACTTGCGCCACCCTGTAGTTACGCAATTGAGATCAGATCATTATGTCCAATTGTTCAATAAAATTTCAACCGTATCACAACATAATAAAGTTTAAACGTAATATCGAATTTAGGTAAAAGTGAAATATTGAATTAATTTTCGGTTCTCCGTTCGTCCTCTAAGCCGTCGCGTCGGGTCGTAGTACTATAAATATAATAGGGATTGTAACTAAAGAGATAAAGAAATATATAGCTTTATGCACACAATGTTGCAGAGAATTAATATATCAAAAGAATATATAAATCAGATACATGTATTTGTTCAGTTCTTTTTCTACGGTTTTTTTTTCTATTGAAATGGTACTTTTTGATTTATAATCATAAAAGTGTAATATAAGAATAGTAATGATTACTTAGGTAGATCAAATCATGCGAGTCTCGTAATTTTAAAAGGTTTTTGTAATGGAATTGATTAATTGTTTAAGAATAATTTTTGGTGCGTAAATAATAACAATATTCAAATACGTAGGTACCTAAGTGAACGAACTTTGTAAATATAATGATAATTAGGTACGTACTACGTAATTATAATGAAATAATACTTTTATCATATTGTACATTCAAGTTTACCAAATAAAATTATTACATATAATTTCCTTAGCTATGATAGGAGATGTTACACAAGAGTTAAGACGATTTTTAGTTATAGTGATACACCGTTATTCAGTTTTTAACCTGTTCAAAAAAAGGGAGGGAGGTTCTACAATGTACAATTCGACTGCATTGTAAATTGAATGAAAATTGCTGTAGTTTCGATGAAACTGTCAATAGTCTTAAAATGCAATAGAACAAAATTATTTTGCCATTGAACATCTGTTTCACCTTTAGTTCATTTTAACTGACGGTACATCATTTTACATGTTTTCCATCTGAAATGTATCAGTTAAGCTAGCACAAACTTCATTTTGTGGTGGTAAAGCAGTGGCCCTTAATGACAATAATGAATTAAGTACACATACTGTACATAATAATAGTAAATACAATAATAATAGGCAGCTGAAGATATATAAAATTTCAATACGAATAAAATTGGGGGCGTCCTTACCTATACTGCGGGGTCCCCGGGCGCCAGGTGTTAAGGGGGACAAGCTGTTATAGGGCGCCAAGTATTAGCAGGGGCGCTAAATATTGGTGGCGCTAAGTGTTAGAGGGCGCCAAATGTCATGGTCTGCCAAAACATTTGTACACTTATGAGAGTTGTAATTTAGAAAGGCGCCAGGGTGTTATCGTACACAGCTGTTATATGGATAAAGGACTCCCTTGAACAAAATCGTTTTCTAATATTAAATTAAAATAACTGAAGTAATTTCTTACTCTATATCAATAAACAAGTTTGGTTGTTTTGTTATTTACTACCATTGTGCGTCACTTCATACATTAATATTACCAAATAACGTGAATATGGTTACATGTGAACTCAGGAATGTATGTGTCAGTTTAGAGCGTCATATTTCAGGATTTTTTTCTGAATATCCTCAACCTATACAAATAAGGATGTTTTTCGTCACATTACGTGGCGGGATTTTGACAAATAAAAATAACAATTTCTAGTTAATTATTTTGTGGTTTGTCATTGTTATTATTTCAATTTTTAAATAAGATTTAATGAAATTGTAATTTTTTATTTAGATTATTTACGAACTTCATTATTTTAGATTTTTTTTCAAGACTGACGCACATTATTTTATTTTAATTATTGGATAAGTTTAAATCATGTTTATGTCGTTTCTTTACTTTTGTAATCAAGTTAGGTACTTGTAATTTTTAAAAGTATCTTGCATTTACGGTTTGTGAAGTAATTTGTGAGTTAAGAACTTAACTTTGTAATTTAAACATTTATATAAAGTTATTTTCAAAAACGAAACAATTTAGTCAAATACAGAAGTCAAGCACTATCTGATCGTATTATTTTAATGCCTAACAACCTTACTTCGTTAATTCATGTTTTAGAAACAATATGATGTGACACTTTGTATCGTCTTTACTACAAAGTACTCGAGGGGCCCCAACTTCAGGGGGCCCCGAAGGACCGATAGTTTCTACGACGGTCACCCGCTACCCGTTGCGCGGCAACCAGCTGTCCCGAAACGTGTCGCGGGTTCGGTACGAACGATTCCGACGATCTCCGGCCACCGTAAGTGCGGGTCTGCGGGCGGCGAGCAACTTTAGCTCGCCGCCCGACTAGAACCAGACTCTTGCGTACGGCACGTCAGGTTCCGCGCGCGCCTCAAAGAGCCGTCAGACTACCACAGATGGGGAAGGCTTTATGGGTTGCCGGGGCTCCGGCTCGAGGAGTAGGAACGGGGTGGTTTTTAGTCAGTAAGAGGGAGTATACTCCCTCACCTAACCCAAGGCGGGAGAAGCCTGTAGATGGTTTTCCCCCTCAAAAAAAAACCGTCGTTAAAGACGGCCTTGGTACCTACCTATGTAGTCATGTAATAGCATCTCTTAATATTCACCTTGGGTATTTCAGTGTCAAGAGTAATATGCGGTGGCAATACGAAGCGACACTTGTCGCCACAACCGCAGCTACTCGCGCTACCAGTATTAACTGATCACTACGGATCATATTACTGATATACCTACTGTGACATGTACCTTTACTATATTAATTTATTAAATTAACTATAGTATTATTATCTGTGGCTTTCCCCGAATCAAAACCTTTCTTTGCCTTGAAACTATAGCTTGTATATGTGTCCAATCCATGCCAAAGTTACTCCCACTCTGTCCCTCAATTAGCAACTAATATGTCTTTACTATTCTTCTTTTATCTTCAGGTTTTGAGATATTACTTACTCGTTCAAGATTTTCACGCGGACTAGGCCATGCCCAGTCCTAAAGTATACTAAGGTACAATTATAATATTCGTATCTATCGACGAATTATGTGTTTATTTATAACATAATATAAAATCACGCCTTTTATCCCCGAAGGGGTAGGTAGAGGTGTACATTATGTCACTGTACAATGTAAAACCCACTTTTCACTATTTATGTTATAAGTCCCATGTAATAGGGGGTGAGCCTATTGCCATATACCGGTCACAATTTCAGCCTCCGTGATACTACTGTAATTTTTTGAAAAACCCAGTAATACTTTGCCCGACCCGGGAATCGAACCCGAGACTCCTTGCCCGGCAGTCGCAGTTTGTGTGTGTTTATATTATGTGAATTTAATATTTAATACATGTGCCCAATCCAATTCAAGGTCACTTCCATCCTGTCTCAATTGGTAATATGTCTTTCCGGCGGGTGTGACACTATAGGGGTAACGGAATACTTGTTATTTTTTAGGTAGGCCCCCTAGATTCTAAGATATTGCAACATTTCTTACTGACTAGGATAAATTTTATTTTCAGTCTTATTCAATTTTAAGCAAATGTTTAAGGAAAAACCTTTGCAATTTATGTTACTAATTTGATATTTTCGTGTTATAAAGGTTTGTGTTATTTCATTATTTGTAATTCAAATTTCCCCCAGCGTGCAGACAGATAAGTCGGGTATGTACCTACATTATTCATAAAGTTATCCTGTAAACAAATCAAAATACCTGTCCCTTTGTGTATTATGAACAATATTTATTACTGACATAGAGGTATTTACTCACTTAGATACCTAAATAACAATTAAAATGCCCGTTTTTAGATAGAACGCGGTTTCCCTTGTCAGAATTAGGTTTATCTCAACGCGTTTGTTAAAACTAGAAATAACTAGGTACTTAGTGGATATAAGAATTGGGTATTTTCCTAGGTCAAAAATAAATTATTTCGATTTTTCAATCCAATTAAATATTCAAAAAGAATTACAATTTCATTCATATACATATTTGACGATATACTTAATTTTTTATTTATTCTAGCATTTTGTTTCAGAAATAAGTGCTATTTGACTCGAAAATATGATGACGTCATAATTTAGTTTTTGGTACAAAATTCATAGAAAAATATTGTTTTTGACGTTTCCATAAAAGTATTGAATTTAATTAGTTGTGAAATACCATATTCATCAGTGATATATTTTCATTTTCAGATAAAACTAGTGGTAACGCCAAGCTTTAGTTTTTCCTGGAGTAAATTAACTAGTTTAAGCAGAAGTAAGGAAAGGACAATCCGACCAGGCGGCTTACTCTTGAATTCAATTCCGATCGATCGACATTGGTATTGTGAAATTTGGTACTCTTGGGTTACAAAACTAGCGCCCATTGCATCCGTATTGTGTGGATATTGAATGAACTAAATGGTATTGAGTTGGGCTTTATATTCCGTACTCTGAATGCTATTTTAACAGCTACGATTGTGGTTGTATAGTTTTGACACTGAATAATTATTGAGTTTTTATTGGATTGAAATTGCATTGACATTGAGTTTGGTTTCAAGAGTAAGCACCATCAAGGTTACGTAGAAATAGGAGCCCCACGCAGCGGGGCATCCGTCACCTTGGACTAGTTTGATCAGCCTAAGCCGAACTAGTTTGATCTGACATCGGGTGCAGATGGTACTCGGTAAGGGATTGTTTGCACTTTAGAATCAAGAATCTCGCGATCGACTTTGAGAACAGTTTTTGCTGACTCGGTTTGGAAAACGAGTGTTGTAGTAAGAAGTAGTTTTAACTAATATTCTATTTAAACATAACATCACGCCTTTTATCCCCGAAGGGGTAGGCTGAGGTGCACATTACGGCACTTAATGTCATTGTATAATGTTACACCCACTTTCTCTGTTTTAAGTTATGAGTCCCATGTATAATAGGGAGTGACCCTATTGCCATATACCGGGCAGAATTCCAGACTGTATACTGCTTGTGAGATTAAAAAAAAAAACCAGTAATGCTTGCCCGTCCCGGAAATCGAACCCGTGACCCCTTGCCCGGTAGTTGCACTTGCGAACACTCTACCCTATATATATCTATACTTATTATACTCTGGGTATATCAGATTCTCAGAGGTGTATCAGAGGTAGTGGTATTCCATTTCAAGCATTACTTAATTCTGGTTTTACCATCGCGTCAAATAAAACACAAAATTAAAATAATATCATATTTATTTACCATAATAAATTATCAAGACAAAACGTTTACATTCATATTTATATGTATAAGGTACTTACGTATCTATTAATTTGACATTCGCACAAATCAGTTATAAAATAATTTCATTCATTTTGTTTATTCTCAAGTTGGTATAACTTTGAACACTTCGGTTTGAAACTCGCTAGGTTCTATGTACTACTTAGGTAATAGCTTACAAAGCGACTTACATAGGTAGGTACCTCATTTGTTCTGTTCAAAATAGAATTTTAATAAAAAGGTACATTTAATTTTGCTTATTAGTAGGTAGGTATATTTTGTAAAGGTAAATGTAATGTAAAGGTTTTACATGGACGTGTGTATCCTCATTAAATGTATGACGTAAATATGCGAATGTAAGTCGATTTGAAGTAAACAAAATACTTTAAAGTAATTTATAGGTACTTAATTAAACTACACTAGTAAGGGAGCCACACAGTGAGATTTTTGGAAGGTCATATTCTTGGCTCCCTTGTCCCCTACGCGTAAAATTTAGAAAGATTGATAATCCCAAATATCAAATAGTATAAAAATCTCAATTATTTTATTATAATTTATCGTCAAACACATTTAAAACATTTTACGTTAAACTTAATATTAAAGTATGGGGCGGATATCAAAATTGTTCGAATACTTAACACGAAATAAGCTTGTAGTTCTGCATAAATACGATGTAAAGATATTATTTACAATGTACACACTTTTGTATGTGTGGACACAAACTGGTCGATTGGCTTCTTACCAAGAAGTCTCTACACTAGTACACTCCACAATATACTCAGCAGAGCAATGAGAATGACTCCGAGACTTGATATCGTTTGACACGAGATAAGATTCCAAATATCAGATTTCTTATAACTGTGGTTGGTTCGTGTGGATAGCGTCCTTCATAGGGGCACTATAGTTTGTCAGCTATTGTAGGTACACTTAAAGCTGTTGTTTGTTTTGTATCAATAGGTGGTGGTGGAGTGCGAGCGGGGCCCCGGGCGCGGGTCGCTCGAGTGCCCGCGCTGCGGGGCGCGCGGGGCTCGCCGCCCGGCGCGGGCGCTCTCAAGCCATGTCTTCGCCTTTACCGTCCAGCCTCTTCAGCTAAACAAAAACACACTACATTAACTATGATCTGATAAAAAACTTGTAACATCGACACACGCATACATACCTAGATAAAACCGCCCTGTTGAAGTGGGCAAATGGGAGTAAGAAGGCACACAAATCATTAAGGTACATCACACATCAGTCAGTGATGGAATACAGTTACTGGTCTGTTCAGTTTGAATTGATGGGATGTGGATGATCATGAGCACACGTGGCTACTTACACTTTGTTCTACTGTCCAAGCTGTTGGCGCTAGGCGTCCAGTGCGCTTGTAATGAGCAATGTTATCAGTTAACTTGGGAAAATACTCAAATGGAAGATTTTATTCTTAAATTTGTAAATGTATTATGTTCTTGTAAAGTTGAGCTTACCTCTTTCTCGTCTCCTGCGACGGAGCGGTAGCGCGGGGGCGTGCTTACAGCGGGGGCTGAGAATCCATGCACGTACAATAGCGCAGCCGCTATGCCACCGGCAATAGGACCCGCCCAGTATACCTGGAAATAAGTGGCGTATTAGAATCTTTTCTGATGTCTCCAATTTTTTTTTAATTATTTGTTTGCCAAATAAGTTAATTCTAATTTAATTCTAAAGAGTTAAAGAGTGACTGCATCAATTATTGAGTCATGAGTTTGATTATCTGGTGAGCCAAATTAATTATTGTGACATCTTCAATGTAATATATTTACAAATACTCTGGAAAACCTTTTCATGGGACTTAAGTGTTAAGTACTTGGTAGTATATTAACGGTATCCTTACCCAATGGTCAGTCCACACGTTGGCGACGAGTGCTGAACCGAAGGAGCGGGCAGGGTTCATGGCAGAGCCGGTGTAATCGATAGCGAGCAAGTGGCCGAGCGTCACCGTCAGGCCAATGGCCAGGGGAGCTGTGGCCTTGCTGTCAGGTTTGTTAGGGTCACATACCTAAGAAAATAATGTTCTATTAGTAAAGATCTCTGCTATTAAATTAGAATTCAGAATCAGTTTCAAAAATCTAGGCACAACCAAGAACTTTTAATATTTCTACTCGACAACAGATGGCGCTGCAAGAACGTGGAAGTATTTTTTAATAATATTGTGATTGGCCAGCCAATATAGCGTTGTTGTTCCCGAGTGTTTTATCAATTTTAGCTAGTAAGTTTTTTTTTATTTCGATTTAGCGATATAATACGAGGTGGATAACCTTGTTGATGAAAAAACATTTTATGGTAATCTCATCTCGTGAAGAAGTGACAAGAGTGTGTTGTCACATTTTTACTACTACCTAAGTTGTAAATGTTTAACAATTTTTATGGTGACCCAATAATGACCTACGCCTGGCAGACTAAAATTGTTGGGTAGTAATAAATATTAATAAGAATCAAGATAATCAAATTAAGATACCAGTGCTTAAATTTGAAGCTATGGGTTTATTGCTAGGCCATATAAAATAACTGTAAATAATTGCCCAAAAACGAGGAATCAATCAAAAGCAGCGGAGCGTATAATAAGACATTAGTTTTGTTTTGTTTAACCGACAGCGGTGAGTTGTGGTCGAGTTGCATCGTCTACTTAATTACTTTAGAGTAACGGTGTTCCTTGTCTTCTAATAACATAGGAGTGCAAGTAATTATATTTTTATATTCTCATGTTTTCTACCATCACTCATTTTCATATTTCATTGCCTTTTTCCATTTGATGTTTTTTTTGTCCATATAGTTGGCGCCACTGATTCTTGATAGTTTTAGTATCTACTTATGGTTTATTTGTCATATATATTACTTTAGGAAATAATAACTCTACTTAGTTACAATTAAAACTCAACATTTTTTACAAAACATCTTAGTCGCAATTCGCTGCAGGCACGTACGGATATCGCAAATCATTCGATATTTTACTGAAGGTAGGTGGGTAATGTAAATAGAAACACTTTGAACCATATATTTATGTCACATTTAAATTCCACGTTTTACGATGCGATGCCAATCGCTGTGATTTGGCTAAATCATCGTTAAAATAAAAATTTAATGCCTATCAAAGTCTTTGTATTATATTTTCTTTAGTGGTATATCATCAGGGATGAATAGTAGTTCTGATCAATTTCTGTTCTATTTTATATAGTTGAGGCGGGATATGAAGATAATTAACATGAATTCATTGGACTGATATGTACAATGAACCAACCAAAGGCAAAGGCGATAACTTTTCGATATGGTTGGTATAAACGTAATACAAGCTCGTACTAGGTCCTTAGCATATTTTTAAGTAGCATAGTCATCTAGGTATTATTTAAATGGCAGTGTAGTACCTAATACCTTTATTATGTAGGCAGTGACTTAGAAATCTAATAGAATAATCTCCCATGTCCCATTTCAAACTAAAATAGCTATTATCAATAAAACTATGCTGCGTTGGTGGCGCGTGTAGCCACACTAGGGAGGAAGTAGTAAGTAGTAGAGTGTTACGTAGGCAGTGACAAATTGCCGACTCATCTTTAAGAAACCAGATTTTTCGAATGACCTCCTCGCCGGGATCAGACACAATTGCCTGTCGACGTAGCCACGCTTTCTTTTTTATTATCTGCATCATGCATTCTTATTCTTACGTTTGTATCTTGTTGGGAAACATCAATGAAATATAAGCGTGTTCCATATAGCTACGTTATAATATTGATTATGTTAATCTGTAGTAGATTGTTGCCTACTATTTCTCGAATAAAATACTGAGTTCCGTCACGCAACGTTACCTCGCGTTTTGTCTGCGTTTTTTTAGGAATCTCCACCACGCGAATCTCGCGAAATTTATTTTGCTTGTAATTATAGTGTTTGATATAAACAAGTAACTAGATGTTTAACTTTTTTCGCTGTAATAAAGTGAGACCGACATCTTTTATACTTTAACCCGTCGTGTCTCTAAATGACGAGACACAATGTGTTTTCTATTCGTCTCATATACAGGCATTCGCTTGAATAGCCGCTTGGCTAAGGGCCGATTTTTCAATCATTAGTTAAGTCTAAGTGAGGAAACCTGGGTTTATAATTTCTAATTATAAGTTTGTATTATCGCCAACCCGCATTGAGCACGCGTAGTGATTAATGCTCAAACCTTCTCCGTGTGAGAAGAGGCTTTGCTCAGCAGTGGGCATTTACAGGCTACATGTTGGAATAATCGGTCCTAAATAAGATGATGATATTAATCAGTTTTTTAATTAAAGATATAGACATGGTCTCAAAATTGATGTGTAGATTTTTTTAAGGCGAATTTAAATTTTTTTTAGCTATTTTTTAATTTCTATTTAGTTTATGTCGTGTACATAAACTTATGCAAATATTATCGGTAGGTTACACGCTCAAAAAATTCCTTGTTTAGACACCTAACGTTTGTTTTAGGTATTTTATCAAAATATACGGAACCGGTCGTCTTTAAATACGTGCAAAACGTTATAACCCTATCTATTTCATTTACCGATTTATTTTTTACTCAACATTGATTGTCGTGATGGATTGTATTTGTATCGTCTGTAGCAACGTTATGTAATTTTTCAAAGCTGAAATGAGAATGATTGTCAATCATTCGAGGCCCAGCCCAATGTCATATCGATATTAACCACACATAATTATACCACAAAGAGGCGTCGGTAAGGACACTAGTTATTTTCTGTGGTGACATTGAATTATTACAACTCCTGCCTCAACCAGATCACGATTGCATTAATATTTAAATAATATGTGTAAGGTAATACTGGGTAATACTTTATATCCTTTCCTGGCAAGATGTTGTAAGCCTATGAGTCAGTGTATTTACGTAGGTACCAAAGCAAATAGGTAGATAGGTACTGAAATGATTCTAGTTACATTTGTTTGTCTTCAATTGTACACAACTAAGTACATTTTAATAATTTTGTTGTCTATAGGTAGTGTTTAGGTTCCAACATTCCATAAAGAATAGATATATATCTATAATCTACGTAGAGTTTGGTGCCTCTTGTCAATAGCTAAGTTCATAATTAGCTAAGTTCATAATAATTTTATTTAGATATCCATTGATCCGTAATGATTAATGATCCATCATTACCGTAGTAGGTACCTATCTGACTGATGCCTTTGGATTTTTGAAGAAAAAAGAAATAGTTACCTACAATAAATTATTTAGAGACAATATATAATATCTTACTTTGATAGGTAAAGGACTCTCAAGACCTATTAAAATGAAGATTAAGCAGGTAGGTTTAAGTAGACCATTCAGGTAGTATCGTCGTTACTATAGGAGCACTTGGGACCCATGTCAATGTGCATCTTCAGGGGCCTCGAGGGACCGAACTTGTATATTTGTAAATACACTCATGTTACAGGTGAAAATCCTAGTGTGGTGTAACGTTAAAAAAAATACATTTCAAAAGGGCTTCGAATTATTGCGTGCCGTAGGGAGCCCAGCGTAGTCTAAGACGGCCCTGCATACCCATGTCTTATGTTTCGAGTCTTTATAACGAACAAAATAACATCGATAGCTCGTGATAGTCTATACCTGGACGGACCTACTAAGGTATGAGGGTTTGTCATTACTTCTTACACTTTAAAATGTATAGGGGTTTATGATTTGTAGTCGCTACTGTCCCATCTCTGTCTAATGCTTAGTCCCTTATTATTCGTCTCTGACTACACCCGTGGAAACAGGGTTTGGTGACAAATATGTTTAGGTCTATCTCTCTACATCCCTACACGGCTACCTAATATAAATTTTAATAAAAAAACGTTATAACGAAATTGTTATTTCCATGCAATTAATTTTGCGAATAGACGTTGTTTTTTCTATTGTCCGTTTATAGAAACTGTTTAAATATTTCATTACAAAAAGACAGATTGCCGCGCGACGCGCACGTTTCCGCTAATAACGTTGTGTCACGAAACGACTGATGGTACCTCAGACTATGAGATTTGTCATTAGCTGATTATTTTATGGTACAATCGCGTTCCAACTCATCAACTAACATAGAATGGCGAATTCATTATTGAGCTACGATTAAATAAATTTTAAATTAAATTTATTCATATATTTTCATATTATGTCATAATATTAATAGTGAAAAGGGAGTGTTACATGTACATGTGGCATTAAGTGCCGTAATGTGCACCGCTGCCTACCCCTTCGGGGATAAAACGCGTGATTTTAAATATGGTACATTAAATTCGGAATGGCAACTGTTTTGAAGGCAATAACTGTATCAAAATCCTACTATTTATAGGTACGCCCGAACAAGTTAATAAGCTGTATAGTGAGTAGGTAGTACATGTTATGAATGAAAAATAAACAAATTGGAATTTATTTCTCATTCTCCGTTAACGTTAGCGTGACTGACAAAACCTGACTTGCTGATTACGTCTATCAAAACTGGAATTAATTTCTGAATGACAAAAGTTCGAATATTTTTAGGAGTTACCTAATAATGTGCATTTTTATGAACGTTTGCAGGTATTATCTAATCTTTATACTGTGTTTTCCTAATCTTAGTTATTGTACTTCCATTTGCACTTCTCGGTATTGTTATTATTTATTTCTTTTAAAATATTTATGCCCTGAAATTCTAAGAAATTTGTATTTCATCTATTGTAGGTATCTGTCTACGGAAATACCCTTCGTTGCCTCACGTATTATTAAATTACAACCTAGATACGTATTACAATTTAATCTGAATTTCATGACTCACACAACATCTATTCCAAAAAACCCATTGCCAAATAGTGCTACTTTTTTGTGGTCAGGGCAAAAAAGACAGCTAGTAAAATATGTGTTTTTCCACAATACTTGATATAGGGAGGGTTTTTGGTTGGCCAACTGTTCGAGAATGGAAATAACTAAATAGAGTCAGGTTGACGTCTAGATATGACTTTCTTGTATTTATTTTTGAAGTAGTTTTGTAACAAACTCACCCCACATACGACGAAGATTAGTACGAATCCGAGGAAGAATTCAATTCCAAAGCCTTGCAGTGCAGTGACGTCAGCGCCGAGGCCGGTGGTTCCGAGGGTTCCAGCAGCTCGGTCAGGAGTGAGAGCCTTTAGCAGACCAGAGCCAGCGGCCGCGCCCGCGCACTGCGCTATGATGTACAGAATCGCACGCGCAATCTTTACACGACCCGTTGACGCCAGACCTAGGGTCACGGCTGGGTTGATGTGGCCACCTGAGATGTGTCCTATAGCCTGTTGAAGATTGCATAGTCAATAAGTTAGAGTAAATACTCTGATTACATTACAATAAATGCAGTATTTTTAGTAGGTTGCTGAGTGACGTTATGAATCGAAGAAAATGAAAGAAAAGACGTAAAATGACGATTAAGACTAGGTTGTTGTAAAAAAATATGTTTGTAAAGGTAAGGTACATACCGATACACTGGCGAACACCGCCAGACCGAAGGCAAGGGCGATAAGCACGATGTTGGGAGGAGCACTGGAGCCCTGAATGATGTTGATACAAGCGCCGCAACCGAACAGGTTCAGCAGCAGATTACCTGAACAAAAACAATTTTTAGTTAAACAGAAATGTGCGCATTTATACACATTCTCGTAGGTGGTATTTAATTCCAAAGAAGTAAATAAAATCATTTCAAAGTACCTAATTTCTTCAATTTGAGATTTAGTTACTCGGCTTCATTTTTTGGCTAGGTGGCGCTAGTGGAAAAATAAGGCTTATTTGCTCTACAATGGTTATGAATGATTGAATAGCATTAGTTAAATAGTCTATATTTACTACTAGTACCAGCGACCCGTCGAAGAATAATTTCTAATAACATTTCCAGAAATAAATTTGGAGGTGGCTCTCGTTTGGTGACATCCAGCATAGGTATATTAAAGGGATGTCAAAGTTTTTACATTAAAAGTGTGATTAGAAGTACTAGAAAGCCATAGATGATTTTAGAATCGCCGTATATACATATTTTGTAATGAGTTTCATACAAAGGGCTATCGCATGCTAAGATTGACATTTCAATGAAGATGTCAACTTTACGTCGTCGTAAATTGAGATGACACAAAGATAAAATGGTATTTTTCTTAGCATTTTTCCGTAACGGATTCAGGCATTTAAAAATATAACACCTTAGAGGTTAGGTGAAAATACTGAGAAATGTTGTTAAAAGAAATGCTTTTGTACTAAATGTCTCTGAACAGCTTTGTCTTATGGTATAAATGGAAAGCTTTCTTCTTTTTTTGGCATTTAGCTGGTGGTGGACTTGGTGTAGTCACTAAGTCTATTTTTTATATTTTTTTATCACGTCACTCCTCGTCACACGTCAGTCACGGGACTCCTACACGAAAAACTATTGCCACAAATTAGTCTTCAGTCCTTTAGTGTTATTACTAAAAGCTTCAGCAAATTTTCTAGGTTATTCCAGTAACAACAAGGAAGCCGAGTTTGCGCATATACCTAATATCAGGCTAGAAAATATTTAATCGTGAGATAAGTATAAAGTTATAGCTAGGCAATTATCTACCTGCGTTTATTGATAATAATCTACAATACATGCACTCCAGAATGCTGTACCTACTGGTTAGTTAGGCAGTACTGTAATAGTATAATTTAATGGTATTTTAATTGTATGGTGATGGTAAACGCATCATACGCGTGTATGAGAATTGAAGGTACGTTCAATGGTTGGGTTAAGTAACAATATTGGCGTTCCCGATTCTGACGTTATTTTTTGTAAGATAGAACGTGTATGTAGTTGGCATGATATAATATATTATCATTATTTTCGTCTAAGCCTCGGGATTACCTACGGCTGCATGATGCAAAGTTTAATCTATTATGATCGATATCATTTAATTCAGAACGAAATCAAATTGTATAACTAACTCAAGACTAAATATAGGTTATTTAAACTTAAACTTGATTTAGTGATGACCAAAAGTATTTGTTTTCAATAATAATATGTTCAATGTATGTAAAATACATTTATGATACAACTTGGTATGGTATGAAACCTTGCCAAGTGTCCACTGATGTCACCTATTAGGGCTATTAGATGCCTCCGTTTAAGGTATCTCCGTCAACACAATGTGGAATTTTATCATACCTAGTAAGGTGAATTTTTCATAGAAATACTCTGACCACGTCTGTGGTTAGCCTATTATGTTGTCGCGTCAGTAATAATGTCATCTAATGATATTTTTTTCTTGATGATCTGCAGGATAGGTTCAGTTAAATGACAGAAAATTTAACTTTATAGCTTTGCACATAGAGCGCAAATTAGTATTGTAGAGACTAATCGAAATTTTGATAATATGGAAGGTTGTAAAGACAAAGTTGGATTTAAATAATTGTAGTATCTTTGACTCACCGATAAACTCCGCAAGCAAAGCTTTGCTGATGCCGGCAGCTCCTCCAGTCAGCTCATCGAGACCAAGTTTCGCTCCTAGTTCACCCATGGTTCTGTAAACAAAAGAAAATCATATAAGTCACACAGGCTTCAAAGATTTACTTATCATATTATTAAGAGACGAACCTACTATTATACGTTCACAGTTTTTACTAGACTTGATATAACTTATCAAACTTTTGTAATAGGTATGCTTTTGTCTTATATCGCGGTACGTCGGCGTTTGGTTCTAGGTAGCTTTATTTTAGTTAAGAAGCGTTCTCATATAAATCCCGACTGCAACTGAAGTTCTTTAACATATTAGTCAAATGATACCTGTGATTAAATCTATGTTTAATTAAGTACCTGCAAACTATGGGCTTATCTAATAACCTAATGAAGTTAGTAATTAGATTGACGAGAATTTGATGCGTGTTCAACTATGGCGTGTATAAACATTTGCGGGTTTAATTTATTTTAAAACCTAATCCGCTGGGCGAGGTAACATTAATGGAAAACATAATTAAGTATTCTGCTTTTAAAAGATTTATTAGTGACTGGAGTCTACTTAATACGCTAGTAGTAAAATTACGGCATTACGTAAATAAAAGCCCACGATAAAATTACGGCTTTTTTCCAAAGGTTCCGTCATACATGGCTTGGTTGCTGAATCTGATAACATTTACTGTTCGGTGATTAACATTTTTCACTATGTCGGCTCTAGGGCGCCGAAACAAAAGAACTGGTGAACCGACGGTTCCCTAATAACTTATAGTCAAGTACTGTGGCAATGGGTGATATGATGACCGGACACAAATTATACTAATTAACTATGGGGTGACCGATTCATGTTCCTGTGCTGTGACTCTACTGAATAGAACAATTCACAGGAAATTGGGAAAGCGGATACCAGATAGAGGTCGAACTAATTTTGTGAGAGAACTTCGGAGAATAGTGTTAATTGTTATGATTTACTGCATTTTGTTGTAAAATTACTTCCGGATTTAGAAAAACCATCCTTTTTTTGGAAATGGCAGGAGATCGAAAGCGATAGACAAACAAGCATATATTTATAATGACAAATGACAATGATTCATATTTTATCTTCGAAAAACCTGCATCATTCCTTAATAACTATTAGACTTCTATCATCTGAGATCTATCTTTCAGTAACTTTATACACATTCAATGTAAAACGTGTATTGCATTCGTAAAGACCTTGGCAGTAAAATCCATAGTTCCTTCGGGTGTGTGCAAGCAAACGCAAGGCCCATGCCGTTTACCGTGACCGCACCACTGAGTAATTATTTGCCATAAAAGCCTGATGTCAGCTCTTAAAGGGCGCAATACTATGTACCTATGGGCATTACATAGCATATCGTTTGTGCATGGCGTAGCCTTCAGTCGTTTCTTGGAAATTAAGTCATTTTATTGCAATATTATGAATATTATGACACTTCCTAGTTGTCTTTATTAATACTTATAGTATTATTGATGCGGTACCTACTAAATCTATTTACTAGTTCACAAATAAAGATTACATCATTATTCTGAGATTGGAGCTTGTTATAATTTGTTCTTTGTTCCACATTTGTTTGTTCCAACTGCTTATATACGATGCCTTTGAACAATCATTTCAAAAATTATGCATTTACAGTTTGTATTTTACGCGACAGGTCCCTGAAACTTTTTGTCCCATTTTTGGTGTCGATTAAGTTATTCTATAGATGTTTTACAATATGCAGATCTTGGTAGGTATCTAAGTAAGTATATCATACGTTTATGTACTCATGAAATAAGTAGGTAGCCGGTATTTGCACCAGATTTAGATTTATCTATCGTGAATGTGTTAATGTTTTATGATAACAGTGAGTCGCTGCGTCTCTTGTTCGAGTGTGTGACTACCTCATAACAAGTTGTTAGCCTTATTTATTTGTACAACTCTGGTAATGACATTGTTGAATATGAATTTAAAAGTTTCGTAGGTGTCGAAATAGTTTTCCTTTTAAAGTAGGTACTTTTAGTCAAGAAGTCAGAATACGAGTATGATCTTCAAGACCATAAATTGGTTTATAAATTCGTACCTACGTAGTATGAAAATAAAGTCAAGATATGAATGACTGTGACCTGAAAACACTTACTGTTACTAATACAAATCAATATTTAAACCATTTACCTCGAGTTGGTTTTACGAGTTACATCGTGAATACCCGTATTGGTTACCTTTTGCACAGATAATGTATAAATAGTTCATTATTGGTAAATACTCTTCGCTCTTTGTTTTAAATTTCTCATCTAAACCTAAAAATATTCAATGCTGAGTTGATCTATAGGATATTTGTTTTTTATGGTTTTCCATAGATTTATAAAAAAAGACATTATTATACAGGTACAAGTTGTAGTAAAACGATTAGCTATAGCAATTTAACCCTGTCCCTGTTAAACATGATCGAATGCGTATTTAAATACAGTTTATGGAATGGAATACATATCCATATTCTAATTAGCGGAGATTGTGTTTACGCTAGGCTGGACCCAGTGACGGCTGCGTGCAGGTGTTAATAATTATTTACCATAGCGTCACGCATTGATTACTATGCTAATATTTGTACTACCATTGTCAATGTTAATGTCGGTCCCGGGTGAGCATGGGAGAATACTCGTCTAATTCATTGTTCCTGAACATGACAGGAAGAGACACAATGAAGCTGCATTAGTCCCGTTTTACGGTGGCCAGTTATCCGAAATTGAGCAGCTCTCGGAAACAAGTGTAAACTGTCCTGGTTAGACAGGACGTGTATATGAACCTCTATCGGGTAGTCACCTATGTACCGTACTTTTAGTTAGCATCGATCTGTTAAGGTCTCCTTTACAAGTTTGTGCAAGGATGCGGAAGTGACAAGTGCGTCCATTGCCGCCAAAGGACATTCGTTAGGTTTAAAGAATATCGTTCTGGCCTCTGGGTGCGTGCCAAGCATAATGAAGGGGTTGCGTTTGCCTACAAACTTTTAAATTACAATATACTTCGCGATTTTGGCAACGAATTACAATATCCATTTCCGCCATGACTGAGTGCATAAAATGGTTACGGATTTATGAAACGTGTTTTGAATTATAATAGCCAAATATTTGTTACTATATGTGTGAAATAGATTGTTATTAGGTATCTAATCGCATCCGGACATAAATCTACTATCTGTTTAGTTTGATTTTGATTTCCGGCTTCGCTATTTGTTAGTAGATATTGAATTTTCGGTTATAACTGTTCTGCTATCTACCCTGAATGTAAAGTAGGGCACATCCCGTAAGCAGTCAGTACAATGAGCCTTGTAAATGGTAATGCCACACTGATATCAACGGTTCCTATCTAATCAACAGATGATTAACCATTGTCGATGGTCAAAATATCCACCCACTAATGGTATACTGGAAGATATCATTACAATAGTCTGACAACAGACCTGGTAGTTTGACGTCACAGAAAATTGATTTGAAGCTAGGCGTGTAAATGAAAATTTATGTATTTTCTATCACTTATTAGTACGTACAGTAATGATAATGGAAGACTGGATAAGTGCGATCAGCCTTGAATGTTCCAGAAGCAAGAATTGTCATTATGATGGGTATCAGAATATGTTGTAGTAAAACACTGTGATTATAACGACACGACATGTCAGCATATTGTATGGACACGGCCACGAAGACATTAGTTATTCAGGTTCAAGGCAACCATTACTAAACGTAACTTTCTGCAGCTTTTCAATTAATTTCCGTTGAAACGACATAACAAATGGCAACCTTCCTTTGTCACGAAACTGTTGGGTAAACATCGACGAACGTTATTTAGATATAAAAGAAGTTTTACGGTTATAACGAATGCAAGGATTCTTTTAAATGGAAATATTTCCTCGGGAAATTTGCTTAAATTGTTTGTTACTGAAGCTTGTACCGGTAACTTAAAGCGGAATCATGTTTAAAGCTTTTCATTTATCTAGATACATTAACATGACAAAGGGTAGGACGTAGGAGAAGTGTATATTTTCACTTTTCGCTAGTGTATTCATGTTATGAATGTCAATATCTTAGGTATATGTTTTTTTATTTTATAAGCCGGTAAGGAGCAGTCGGATCACTTGGTGGTAAGCAATCGGCGTCGCCCATGGACGCCCGGAATACCAGAGGAGTTACAGGTGCGTTACTGGCCTTTTGGGGATTAGGATTTTGAGGATTATTGGGGATTATTAATCATTTATACATCGTACATTTAATTACGTTATATTTTGTAGAAAAATACTACCTACTGTTCGATTTCGACATCGTTACGCATGTATTCGAGAATGTTTAATTTCTTTTTTATTTTCCAAAGTAGATATTATTTTGTTAGTGATAAGTGGCTGACTACTGAAAGCCTGCTGGAAACTGAATGGGGTCACGGCGAGCGAGTTCAATGTGACACTATTATTTTAAGATAACTTGTAATATGTATGTCACTGTTTATTTACATGCAACACATTGTTTTTCATTGTTATCCAGTCGAGATTATAGGTTTCATTTATTACAGAACATTAAAGTTTTAAATTAAAGTAAAACTTGATGTGGTATTTCTATACATACATAACCTTCAATACCATCACGCCTTTTATCCCCGAAGGGGTACGCAGAGATGCACATAACGGCACTTATTGCTATACTGTACACTGTGTGTACCAGCCACTTTTCACTATTTATATTATGAGTCCCATGTAACAGGGGGTGAGCCTATTGCTATATTCCGGGCACAATTTCAGACACCGTGCTTTTTTAAAACCCAGTAATTGAACCTGCCCGGTACATCTGACCACTCGGCCAACGAGACAGTCTATACATATACACATACACAGTATAAATATGTAAATTATTATGTTTTCGGCTTACTCACGTAATAATTCATCAAATCGCGGCGACTGTCGCGCTGCTACTTCGCGTCGCGGGTCGCGAAATGCTGCTCATGAATATGAGCCTCTGGCATGGCTTGAAACTAGTCGAGTTTCTCGTCATTTCGTCAAAGTATTACGTGAGTTAGCCGAAAACATAA